ATGGCAGGCGCTGCGGCTTTGGCGGCAGCCTTCGACTTGGCTTGCGCCTTGTCATTTGACGTTGCTGGAGCTGAATTGTTCTTGATGAGCTCATGCCTGTACTTACAAGCGCTTCCCCTATCGCACTTCCCCTTCTGAAACGCGAAGCATGCTCCATCATCCCTCTTTGGTGACGATGATCTGGACTTGGATTTGCCCTTTCCTTTCCCCTTGGACATGCTCTCCAACTTATGCTCCGTCTTCTTGCTGTGGGAAAAAGTGCATTCATTCCCTTTCACGCACCCCTTCGCCGATTTGAAGTGGTACCAGCAGGGGTTATCCTTGCTTCCGCCCGGACTCTTGCCTCTGTCGCTGGCACCGTCGGACTTGCCGTTCTTGCCAGCGTGGCCCTTTGCCTTGGCTTTTGGGAGCACAGGAGCGGCATCAGGTCCACCGGGTTTCCCCTTTCTGCCCTTGCCACCCTGGTTCTCCTGTTTGCCAGTTGCTGGAGCCGCATCCTTCCCGCCTGACTTCATCATCGACTTGACCGATTTCTCCTTCATGTCGAGCATCAGGTCTTCCCGATCTGCCTTGATCTGATAGTCGATCAACGCCAATAAGAATTCATACGTCTTCTGAGGATGCTTGTCCGGTAGTCTATGGTAGGCATTGAGGCCGAACTCCATCTTCTTGCTCCCTTTGATCTTCCTGTAAAGGATGTCTCTGAGAGCCAGCTTACTGGGTCTGTCCTCGCTCCTCATCTTCAGCAGCAAATCATACCATTTGTTCCTGAACATGACCAAGTTCTTGTCGCCAGGAAAGTCAAGGTTGAATAGATGCTCGATGTGGTAGACAAGATCCGTTCTATCGGAAGTTCTGAATGATTGCATAACTAATGCCACCAACTCTCGTCCCTTCACGATCACCCCTTGTTGATGTCGTAGTTCAGAGTGTCGTGTAGCATCGAGGTATACGTCCTTGGCTTCGTCAGGTGCTTGTTTCAGCATGTTCTGCATGCCCATGGCCATCTTAATATCTATCGTAGCAAATCTGTCGCCACCTGAATCGCTAAGCAAATCCAGGTCTGGGTTCAACCCAAGAGCCTGCTCCAGCCATTTCGTCCATGCGTCGGTATCTGGATCTGCACATGCGCTCAGAACATTCATCAGCAGTTGCATCTTCCAGGTGTCAAGTTGATGGATCTTTGGCCAGGCCGGAATAGATACTCTCTCGGCCTCTTTCCTCGAGATTCTCGGTCGATCATTCTTGATCTCTCGGTTATCTCTCGATCTCCTTCGTCTCCTCCGTGTCCGATCGTCTTCTTCCTCTTCTTCTTCCTCGTCTTCCTCATCTCCTTCGTCGTCGTCATCCTCATCCTCATCATCGGGTGGATCATCCGGAGGTCCTCCTCCGCCACCAGCGAGGCTCAACTGACGTCGACCCGCTCCCTGCCCATTCCCATTGGGCGGGAATCCACCGTAATCCAATGGGGGCGTAGTACCGTTGTTTCCCCCCCCATCACCACCACCAGTCGTAGTAGTGGATTGTGGGACATGCCCAACAACCCCTTGCATCTGGGATAGGTGTACATCGATCATTGGATCACCGAAAGACGGAAAGAGGATCGAACCTGGCATCAGCGACGAATTAGGGATTTGATTTGAAGACGATGACGGGACTGACCCAGCCACCTTCTTGTCTATCCTATTTGAATTAGCCTGGGTTCCTCCCTCAGCGCGTTTCACTACTGCTCGTTCACGATGTCCATCTTTGCCGCTGGAGGCTTCCTGTATCTCCAGCTTCTTGTGTGCACGTAGTTCCTCGTTGTCAGCATCGAGTTGGCGTACAAAACTCTCTTCTTGCTTGAGCGTCGCCTCTCTTTCCTTCAGTTGTCCCTGAAGCTCATGCATCTCCTCGAGGTACTCATCGTACATTCCCTTAGCTGTCAATCTCCAGTACTCAGCCTCCTTCGACTTCTCGTCCATCGTGCACCGTTCCTCTTGTTTCTCTTCTTTGACCTGGGCTAACTCCAAGATCGCATCCTGACGATGACCACCTTCGACAGCAATCATCTGGTCCTTCATCGACACGTCGGACTCATACTGTTTGACGATCTCTTCTTTTTCGCGAAGCAAGCAATCTGCTCTCTTCGATTCCTGTTCCGCAAATACTGTAACGTCATTCAGCCTCGCCATCAGCTGTTCCCTGGAGTCCTCCAAAGAGTACGTCTCGGGGCGCTTGACGAGTGCATGCTCCAACTGTGATTTCAGACTTTGGACCATCTCCTCCTCGTTGAACTTCTCGATAGATGTAGAAGATTCTATGCCTCTGATCTGTTGCTGATAAGCTGATATCTGTTGTGAAGCCTCACGGTGTATCTGATTTGCACGTATAGCTGATTCCTGCGCGGCCGACTTCTCGCTTGCCATGTAGGATCTCATCAATGCAATCTCCCGCTTCTGCTCCATGATAGTTCCTTCAGCTTGCCTCATCTGTTGCATTCATAATATTCGACTCCATGTCTTTCTTCTCCCCGTACTGAAATGCGTTCATTTCCACCTTGCGCATCTGTTGGGCTTCTTCCTCAAACTTGCGCCATGCCTCAGCCATGTGGTGTTGGTGGTGACTCACTAGATGTCCCGACTGCTTGCTGGCAATCTCGCATCGTCTTTCCAGCTCCTGGATCCGGATGGTGCTTCCATAGTCTTCTTGGTTAAGATTCGCCATTGCTGCCGACATCTCATCAAGTGTCTTCTGATATTCCCCGATCTCCACCTCCATCTTATTCTTCTCTTTGATCACGGCGCGAAAATCTGCACTGGTGGGTGATTTTGACCTCCCACCCTTCGATGTCGATCTCACGCCCTTCTGCGACGTCCGTGGTGTCGCAGGCGAAGATGATGATCTTCTCGGTGGGGATTCTCTTTTCTTCGACTCCTGATGAACATCGATCTGCTTCCATGATCTTGTGGGAGTAGATATGTCGCTGAATAGCGCGGAACCTCCGCTCCCAGGTTCATCCTGTGAATCTGCAATCATATCCATCACCGCAGGAAGAGCCATCAATCCATTGGATCCCTCTGAGCTGCTGTTCCCAAAAGTTGCAGTACTTGGGCTCGCCGAAGACGCCATTGTACTGTGTATGTTATCGTTCCTTTATTGTCCCTGTACCCGCAATAAACCAGCTGTCTCCCAGTCCAGTGTAGAGCTTGTAGATACGGCTGATAACCTGTCAAGAGACGGCAAGGTGACGTCCCGTGGGACGCTATGCACCGAACCCTCAAGCTGTAATACCAACCACGTAGAAAGGTGTATACGGACGATGCCGTTATAGCCGAACCCGTGTAAACGTTGTAAGGGAGAAGGAATGATAGTTACAACAGTGGTCCTGACAAATGCAGCGCAAGCGAAGTGTTTTCGCTCTCAATGCCGATCACGTATGTATGCAGTCACACATCAGATCTTGAACCTCAATTGTGTCTTGAGCCAAATGGCGATCAATGGAACTTGGGAAGCAACACCAACAAGGACCTCAGAACAGCTACCCAATTTCGGCACGGGGCCTAGAGGGTTTTAACACCAAGAACCTGCGTGGGGCCGCAGACTATCACACACAGATTACTGTTTACACCCTGTTGTGCTTTGTTGCCAAGCAGTTGGTTCACCGACCTCTTCTGATGCTGTCTGCATTACATAGCAACCACTCTCCAGGCTTGGTCACAGTGCTGCACACTAAGCATTGATTTCGCATGCATCAGGAGGACTAATCAGGGGTGGTTCCATTTTTAGACAAGGACTTGAGCTCTTTTTTTCGGGAGTTCCTCTGACACGTATTGTCCTCCAGATTTATCCGAAGAAAGCATTAGACATCCCAAGGGTCACACTGCCAAGGCTTTATCTTGCCAGGCAGCAGGTAGCTGCTGTCCATCGCATGATCCCGGCAGACTGCCTCAGTTCATGACATCCGCTTTGGGCGGTCCATGTCTAGACCTACGCCTGCGCCTGCCAGTTCTGTGCCTTCCCTATTCCTGGGACCTTGCGACTTGAATCACACATCCCTAAACCAAACATGACTGGGCTGCCCTCAGATCCCCCGCTAAAAGTTTAACTTTTAGTGGGCTAAATGACAACTATCACCAAACACTAAAAGGCTATAAAGAGCTAAGGGGATGGCTGGGAGACACCATGAAGAAAAGCTCCCCGCATGTTTCCAGCTTGCCGAGCTTCATCGCCCGGCAAGCAGTCTGCGGCAGCGGAGACGGCCAAGGACGCGAAGAGAGCGCGAAGCATTACGGGCCTCACAGCTCCGTCGGCTTGGACGGGAGTGCCAACTGCCGATTTGGAGCGACTCTACTTCCCAGGGCGGTTCCTAGTAGCTATAGTGAATCAATCCCATTTCTGGGGGGATTCTGGGACTCACAATGGTCCTCCGAATGAATCCGATGTTGGCATCGGTTTGGACGGGCAGGGTGCATTCTCGCGCTGGCACAAGCAGGCCGATGCTGCGCAAACGTGCCGATCATATTTTCCTATCGCAACTTGAGGATTTCGAGGGATGCCTGTCCCTTGACCCAAGCGCAATGAAGCTCGGGGCCATGCCCAGTGCGGGTCGAGCAGCAAAATAGAGCGATGACAGGTGAAAGCTCACGGCAAGTCTTTCCTTGAGAGCTGCTGGCAGCGGGAGTCACCTGTGTTTGCCGCGTGCTTTTCAAGTCATCGTGTTCCCACCTCTGTGCTTTGCACAGGAATAGTTCAAGTGCAATGCTGTAGAGTCGAGCAAGCTCTAGAAAAGATGCAACTCGCTCTGGCTGTCTCACCTACCAATGGTCTGTATAAGCCCCGAATCTGTGCCACCCACAACAACGGGACCTGGCCCATTGGTTCCATTTGCCAGGGTTGCATTTTGGGTGCCTATTTTTGACCCACAGCCATATTGTAGCGACACAGCCCTCCCACGACGACACAAGGTAAATAGCTACTCAGCCCCGTGACATGGCGACACGCGCAGTTTTCCAAAGGCATCACATCTTCAAATGCTCCTTCGCAGCCTCGGCGATCAGAGGCAATCCACGGAGTGCACGATTCAACCACAGACAGGGAGAACTACAGAGTATCTACAGTACCCTCTTGGAAACTGCGAAGAAAGTCTGGAACATCAAATTGTCACGGTGGTGAAGGTGCTGGTCCCTCCAGCAAAAGGAGCTGATCTGCCTTGCCATACCCTGCGCTCATCTTTGCTATCGTAGAATCTAGTGTCAAGCTTGAACTGCAAGATTGTGCCCATTCAGGACGGGCCTATTAGATCACAGCCAATACCACAGGGTGGTTGGATGTCAAATTTGATGTTGGATGCCTTGGTAGGCCCCCGTTCTTCACCAGTTTATGGAATGCCGAATGCAGTCTTCCGTTTGCGCTCGCTGCTCTTGAGATGGCATGGGCAATATCGATTCCATTTTTAAAAAAATGTGGTGCGCCCCAGCTGAGCTCTTGAATGGCCCTGGATCTTCCTTCAGGTTCTATGTCGGTGGGTGCGACGGAAGGTCTCGAGTGAAGCGGGCCCAAGACAATAACACCCTGGCGAACAAGCAATTCTTGACCATCTATCAAGAATGAAACTCAAATATACTCAACTGCCAGAATCTCTTGGTGGGCATTGTAGATTGACCAATGTTAGAAGGGGCTGGCTAGATTGCTCGAGCAATCTTGAGACTTCTGCATTGTGTCCAAAATAAATTGTGCCAGAAAAAAAAAAAAAAACATATAAAACTGGGTGGACGCCATGATGAAAACATATTGCCATACTTGACAACGCACCGCTGCAGTTAAGCATCATCAGATTTCTTAGCAAGCTGGTGAAGCCACCCTTTGACCAGCCAAAGGTCATCTTTCCCTTAGGTGGCTTGAATTGGTTTGGAGGTTCGGGGGTGTCACACTTACCCTCAACAAGAGTGCAAATCCCGGAACCAATCTAAGCTGCCAAGCAATCTTCACCGAAGAAAAGCCCAAGGTCCTTGCCAAGCTGGGTCCTCCAGTAGAGGTTAGAAGAAGGGTACCCTTTTCCTATAGTCTATTTTTGTTAGGGGAACTCTCCCCCCAAAAAGGGGTGAGAAAGGGCACCTAGCTGGGGGACCTTGTAAGGGAACAAAAACCATGGCCCGCTGGGAGGAGCCTGCATGCCGCCGTTGAAGTGCCAGCGGAGAAGCCAAAGCCAGCCGAGCCTAGGCAAAGCACCAGGGGGCACAAGGGGGCACGAGTGGCACATGGGGGCTCGGTTGCTTTCTGCTCCCCTGCTAAAAGTTTAACTTTTAGTGGTTTTCCTAACATCCAAGCAAAATGCAACAAAGGGGGCACAAGGGTCATAAGGTGTCGAAATATGTGAACAACAATTGGTACTCCTCCTAGGAAATAAGAGAAACACGCGTAAAAACTGCATAGACCAACTCCTTGAATGAAATCTCTCTTCCTGCAAGCAATTTGCGGCGGGCCACGTTTGCACCCCGAATTAAATCATTAGGATGAACTCCGGCGCGTTAAATAGCTTGTGAAAAACCTGTCTGTGTGCCAAACAAAATGTAGTAACTCAAGAACTCTGTCACGAGAATTGTGGGGATGAGGACCTGGGAGTTAACACAGCATGAGCAACATGACGGTTGGCAAAGGCAGCAAGCTCCAACTAAGGGTCAATTGAGATCAATTAGGAAACACATGGCAAGGCATCTGAACGAACCCCCTCGATCATTGCCACGTTGCTTGAGCGGAAACCGCTACAGTAAGTTGGCTGATTTTAGGAACCATGCCAGGCGTTCACTTGACTAAAATCCTGGTCCTGGTTGATCCACGTCGGATGCTCGGTGGGTTGGTTCAGTCAGCTCCCTAGACCTTGACCGCGGCTCTCTGTCTTGAGGCCCTTTGCCAAATAGGTGAGGCAAATGATCACTTCTGTTGGTGCGTATGATAACTGTGGTGCCACAAATGAACAAACATATTCATGATGTTCACACACGAGCCGGTGATCAAGGCAAAGGCAGCTGCTCCTTAAACGATGCGCAACTTCCCCAGAGAACATCACACATGATGCCACTTGTGTCTGCCTGCGCTCAGAACGACAACGTTGCACTCTGGAATGTGGAGAAACAAACACAGGCCCAGACATAGCAGCTGATGAGAATGTCAAAATTGGGCACCTTCTTTTTGGAACCCTCCTTGTGCTCGCCGCTGACCAGGTTCCAGACGGAAAACCGTTTCAAAGGGTACTGTTGCTAGCTACGACACGCGGCTAAGCAGGCATTCACTGGCCCTGGTAAGCTCAGTGCCTCTTCAAAAAGCGTGCCGAAACCTGAACGGAAACAAACATGCCACAATGGTGGTATCCAGCAGCAAGCATGGACATGTTGAGTCGAATGGTTACATGGTGCATTTCACTGAAGCGTTGCCTTAGTCCCACCCCAATCAGCATTGTGGTTGTGTACATGGTCTTGGAAGCCACATGTCGGCCAAACAAATGTACCAGTATCCTGAATATGTCCGTTGTCGGCCGCGCTCATACAGCACAAAGGTAAGCTGTTGCCGGTAATGATTAAAATTCCTCACCCCCCATATCGGCCTGCTTGCGCTGCATACAGCGCAAGGCTTCGAACAAACTGGTTGTATACCACCGGCCATTCTACCACACTTGCCCTTTCTTGTTTGCTTGGGGCGAGATGAAAGCACCTGTGCAGCATGCCGACCGCCGCAATCCCGGCCTCCTGTCCTCCTATAATAAACATGGTTTTCCCAGAATCCCAACAGATCCACCCTGAATCAACTTCCTCACTCGCCAACTTGGCTGCTAGCTGGCTGGCTTGCTGTTTTCTGTTTCGATTGGAACGCCAAATCTGAGAGAAATAAATACAGTACGTATGTATTCCTCAACAATAGCAGGGATCCGAAAACCGACCCCGGTCGGTCCAGGGATCTTTTCCTTTCTTGTGCGACCCTGTGCTTTTGGTGGGACGGGATTCGTATCCAGAAACCACACCGACCAACCAGCCGACGAAGTGGCATCATATGAGTCATAATCAAAACCCGGTATGAACATGGTCTACCCAGAGCCATGCTTCAAGAATTAAGAAGGCGGATATCCGCAGCTATGGTTGGGATTGTCCCTTACTTGGTGCCATCATATCATCTGCGAATCCAGGTCCCCGGGCACTGTGGGCACTGCCAGGAGCAAGTTGTGGAAGAGGTGCTTGGCGCTGTTGCGATGCACATGGCCTCGACCATGTCGGTGGCCCTCGGTAGTAAGTCAGAAAATAGGCGAAGTGACTCAGCCAGTCCAAACTCTCGCTGACTTCCACTATCTGTGAAAAAGGGCCCGGCCATTCAAGAACTTGGTGCTTGTCATGGGCAAGTATCATGACTGTTAAATGCCAAGCTGGCATCTAGCATTCCGAGGCGTGCAAATTCCAACTTACCTGTACGCAGGGTTCGCGAGGCGAGAGTCGCAAGAATCCACCCGTGTCTCGAAACGTTCTGTTCATTCTCTTCAACTCATCGGCCGTTTCCGTCGGTTTCGCCCTGACTGCAGCCTACTCTGCTCCGTGTCGAGGGAGTTGGTCATTGACAAGGGTTCTTTCGGAGGCATTTGCTCGAGCTTCCTTCTGTTCCATGTTCAAAGGAGACCGCCGCACCCCCTGAGCCGCTGGGTCCCTTTCATGTTGCCCCATCCAAATCTTCAGCTCTGCATCCAGGCGGCATCCGCGTGCTTCCTGCACAGGCGACCGTGAGCACCACAAGGCGACCGTCAGTTCTATAAAAACACCTCAAGTCGTGCACATGCTGTATGCTGTGTACGCTCCGCGTAGCAGCAATACATATATATATATATATATATGTATATCATATACCCACAAATCACAAAAGGTGACGTGGTGTTCGCTCAGCAACTCACTCTGCATCTGCTCAAGGCTTTGCAGGGCAACAGTAATCAACTTTCAATGCCACTCATGACCTGCCAACACGAGCTGGCTCGCCAGTACATGCGTGCGTGTGCGTCCGTGTGCGCGCACTTGCGCAAACGGCCTGGGTGGGTCGTGGTGGGGACGCGGCGAAAGTGAGAAATGAGATGGCCATGGGTCAAAACCCAAATCGTATGCCCAGTGAACATCCCAATCCCCACTAAAATAGGTTCTAAAATGGGTGGTGAATTCACCTACTCCAAAATGGTACCATTGGTTTTGACCCACAGCCAGATAACGTGAAAGCCAACAACATGTCAAGCCGAAGCCGATAGTCCTGTTTCACACGTGGTCAAACAGCCAAATGTAGGTGTAAACATGCTCCCTCACAGCTGTCCATGACCGCAAATGCGGTATGCAAGGCCAGGCCAAAACCGCAGCAAACAAGCAGGTCCTACCGTTTTAAAGCCACAGTTCGAAGGCTCCTGCATCAATTGGTGCTTGAGGTGTGGCATTTGGTCGTTTGATGTTTGATTGCCCCGGGCCTGAGTTAAACCCTGATGTGAATGAATCAGGTCGTTGAATGTCCAACTAGAAAGGAACCCTGAAAACCCATTCGGATGTTGGACAAACGGCCATTTCATCGCCCACCAAATGACCCTGTAAAACATGAATGGGCCATTTTTCTAGGGCTTGATTCCCCATTCTTTTCAACCATCGTTCTTTCCCAAAACCGGCCGTTCTTTTTGGGTTAAAACCCTGTAGCCCTGGTGAACGTCAAAATAGGTGGCAAATGGATGTTCATAAGGGTACCCTTGTTTCTGTGGTCTATTTTAGCAGGGGAACCCTCTCCCAAAAAAGTTGGTAATAGGGCACTACTGGGGGACCTAGTCAATGGGCCATTTTGATTTGGGTCGCTGACTCGGCTCAGACCCCCGGCCCCACCTGTGAGCCAGCAGCTCCTTCATCGCCTGTGCCAGCCGCTCACCGCCACGGAGGACAAGCGACTGGCCGCTGGAGGACGAGGGTGTCCGCATGGAACCGTCGGCCCCTGGTTCGCCTGGTGTTGATTTGTTTTGACGGCTTGGCCAGGCAAGGAAGACGCTACTCAACAAAAATGTTTTGATAGCTTGGCCAGGCAACCAAGAAAACGCTCTCAAGGGCTGGCTTGCTGCGAAGGCCCCATGCTCACCCGTGCCTAGGCCCTCTGAGCCTGCACCGATCCGAACAAAATTCATTGGCGTTCAGAATTCGGATCAGCCGAAATCGATGATCCTTCCGGATCCCCGCCGTTCTGAGTTCCCCTAGGTGTTTCTACAGCTAGGCTGCCGCAACACCTTTAGCTGTTTGCCTTCGATTGAACACCAGGCCAGCGACAACACCACTTCAATCCTAGCCCTACGGCTTTTTTTGTGTATTTCTGTTGGAATTGAGTAAGGCATTCGGGATGTCCCCGCACAGGTTGCACCCCACTGTGTTCCGCCTGTGGCGCTGCGTAAAAAAAAAGAAAGGCCGAGCTAAGAGAGAAGTCTTTCAGGTGGTTATAGCAGGCAAACAAACTGCCCATTGGCTAAACACTCAACCGGGACGAACCACATGGCCTGCCAGCTCAAGCACGGATCAGTCGGGCGGGTTCGCTTATAAGACAAATGTGCTGTGATTATCTCAAGGTGAGGAGAACTCTTTGCGTCAAATGCGCTGGGTTGCGGTGGTGCAGGAAAACCTGAAAATGCCATACGCACACCTCAAATGTCCCCATACGCACACCTCAAATCTGGGCATCTATCAAAAGGGCTGAAGCCGCTAGCCCAATGATTGAAGTTCCTCAAGATCTCTGTTCAAAACAACAGAAACAACCGGCACCCACCCACCCACCCACCCACCCAGCCAGCCAGCCAGCCAGCCAGCCAGCCAGCCAGCCAGCCACCCACCCACCCACCCACCCACACACACACACACACAAGCAACCTTAAGCAAGCTCTCGCAGATCAGCCAACGAACTGGATGCCCGATCAATCGCCTCGTAGAGCTTCCCCCACTTCTCCCGCACAGCCTCGCTCAGCTCAATGCCTGGCTCCCGAAACAAAAGCCAAACTGGAAGAAGTCCCTAGGAGCCCAAGAAATCAAATATCGAGGCCTTTGGGGCTTCGAGGCCCTCATATTGTTTTTCCGGTTTTTGGCTCCTGAGGGGTCCCAAAAACAGGTCAAAAGACCGAATGCGTCCCAAAAACAGGTCCCAAAACCAGCAACTCTGCGAGTCCGACTCTGGAGTGTCCTTCCTGTGAATGGCTCAAGGTGAAAGCGGCCTCGGCGCCAATCTACTAGGCCGCCCGGCGTGAATCTGCGGCCTCTTGGGGCAGGTCCCCATAGATGTCACAGGCCTTGCCCATGGCTGCATTGGATGCTTGCTACGGCAAGGACTGGGCCAACCACTGTTGCGGAATCCCGTGGCAATAACTTTCGGGAAACACCCATCTTGAAAGCTCAACATGGGTTGTTCTGTGGATCCAGGAAGCGCTCTCCTGCATTTTAGAATGGTGCCGAAGAAAGAACATGTGCAAGCCTGGCAAGGAGACTATTCAAGCTCAGTCGTCAGTACATTCCACAGCAGACACGGTGTCCAAACGTGAACTGTGGGCTTACCAACTTCCCTATCTCTCCCTACTTTCTATAAGCAAGAATGGATCATTTGATATCGATCCATCTGACCAGCTGCGTCAGCTACATTACTCCTGTCTGAGTATTCCAAACGTAGGAATCCAAGCTCTTGTACCTCTTCACCTCGAATGATACCTTGTACTTTACGATGATGTCCTCGTGCTGCAGTCAAGCGGCCACTTGCGCAAGCTCTTGGCCTGACACGAAAGTTTGAAATCGAGCCGTCGGCCTTCTCGAAAGAGAAGGCCGAGAATGAAACACAAACCAATACAGCAAAGTAAAAAGGGGTGAAATGAAACCGAGGAAACATTCTGCTAAGCACTGGTCAAAGTAGGCAAAACGATTTTAGGGGTGTTGGTGTGGTGGGCGGGAATTGGATGAACCGGTTGAAATGCCAGAACCCCACCTGCAGAGCGCACGTTGCCAGAGTGCCACACTAGCTAAAACTCAGAGATGTCTGGCTTTCCAAAAAGGGGCCCATGTTTGTGTCAAGTAAAACGGCCCAGACTGAGCTGCATGGCCCATTGAGGAAAAAGCCATTCTGAGCTTAACGCGCTGAGCAAACCGAGTCAGGGAGACCCGCACGTCTGTCTCTTCCGCACATGCCCGTCACGCTGACAAATTGGGCGCAAGTACCCCAACTCACAACCCTAGGGCCACACCCAAGCTGTTCAGGAGGAACAACTAGGAACAGTGCGGTTTCGCCATGGCTCTGGTGAACATGTCTTCGGAGAGGGCGAACCAAATACAAACTTCATGCTGCTCGGCCGTGGCGGATCGAATTTAAGTTTGCGTGAAAGGCCATCCACGAGACACATAGTCACTCAACCCCAGGAGGAGAAAGAGTTGGCCCGATGCCAAGGAAAACAACTTGTGTCCTGGTCTATGCTCGTTGTGATGTGGCCAAAAGGATGGGAGTCCAAACCGGTCACTGCATCAGCATCCTTTGATGGACTTCTGCCCTGGATGTGACGTTAGTACGCTCTCATGCGAAGCCACGAGTCGCCAGTCCGGGAGAAGTGACATGATTTGCTGGCAGCCGCAGCACGTTGATGGCCAGGCGTTGTTAAAGAAGCTGAAACAACATGAAACAACACTTTGGGGCACTGTAGATGTAGGCGCCCCTCCCAAAGCAACAGAAAAGCCATATCCCCCGTCACACAGATCGAACTCATGCAAAGCCAGCAGCGCTAATCCAAACGAGATGCCCCAGTGTGCAAACATCTGGTGCGGGTGTTCCTTGAATTGACGAAAGTGCTCCAGCTTGTACTTCTCTTTCCTGGCGTGCTGAATGACACCAGTCTTGCGCAGATTCGGCCAGGGGACTCATGTCCAGTGCTGTGCTTTGCTCAACCAGGTCGGGTCATTTGCATTATGTTGACTTACTAAAGACGGCTATGAAAACCCGGACTCCAGAAAAACAAAAACATACTGTGACGATCATGCCAAGGGAAGAGCACTGTGCACAAAGGTCCAAAAGCGACTCTCAAAGCAAGCCATAACTCTGACGGACTCCCCAAAGGCATGCTCTAGCAAGTCTGCGTCACGGGTCCCAAACTGAGAACCGCAGACCTTGAATCGAACACGGACATTGCGCTCTCGGGTCTTTTTCGCCGCCGCAAAGACATGGCAACGAAAATTTTCAGGCCGGCGTCAGCCTTATGGCCTGGAAGGCCAATTGCAACCATCAAGCGAGGTCCGCAGACAATTCGATCCGTCGCAGCCTGCTGCTGATTCCACCTTCGGCTGCCTGCTTTCCAGAAGTAACCATTTATTCATCCGCATTTATCTAAGCCACCAACACACGGACACAAACGAGATAGACCAGCTCACCGATCCACGCAGTACATCGCCCATAAGAATCGCCTGCTGGATTTTGGTTTATGCAGCGCTCCTGGCCGCGCCAGTGAAGTCGTGCTGCTGGAACTGCTGAGGCAGGTGAGTCTCCTTCAGCAAACGTGAAGGGGCAAAGCGGTGTTGTCTAAAACGGGTGCATGCCACTTGGCTTCGCCACTTGGTTACACACACTAGAAATGATGCAAGCGGCAGGTTGGTTGGTGCTGCAAATGCAAACAACGTCAAAGAAACGGCTACACATGCGGGATGGATCCCATGGTTTCCAACTGATTCAGTCAATGTCCGGCATCTGGCAGCAATTTCCCTTTCTGTTCACTAGCCCAGCTGACCTAGCCTTTTCTGCAGTCCAAACAATAAACGGACGCGCTTCGTGCCCACGTGGACTATGCAAAGAAAGTTAGATGGCGGGTCATGCAACTGCCACCAAGGCACCCAATAGTCGAAGAGGGACACCGCCTCCCAACAAAGGTGCCAGGTGTGGCATAAACACATCAGCAACGAATATATCAGGCAAATGCCACGCTCAAGCAACAGCTGCGAGGTCAACACAAAGGCAATAGATGTTCTAATTCTTCTCCAGCTGACAAACAAACAAACAAACAAACAAACAACTAACTAGCTAGCTAGCTAGCTAACTAACTAACTAACTAACTAACCAACCAACTAACTCACAACAAAAAAAACACCAACCAATTAACAAGAGAGACCAACACAAACACACAACAAAGAAAGAACCAAACCAGCCAAACAGACAGACAGACAGTCAGACAGACACACAAGACAAGCAGGACAAACACCGCACAAGGCAAACAAAACCAAACAAACAAACAAACAAACAAACAAACAAGAAGGGACAAGACGTACACACAAACAAAGCACAAGCAAAGCAAAGCAAAGCAAAGCAAAGCAAAGCAAAGCAAAGCAAAGCAAGCAAGCAAGCAAAGCAAAGCAAAGCAAAGCAAAGCAAAGCAAAGCAAAGCAAAGAAAAGCAAGCAAGCAAAGCAAAGCAAAGCAAAGCAAAGCAAAGCAAAGCAAAGCAAAGCAAAGCAGCAAGCAAGCAAGCAAGCAAGCAAGCAAGCAAGCAAGCAAGCAAGCAAGCAAGCAAGCAAGCAAGCAAGCAAGCAAGCAAGCAAGCAAGCAAGCAAGCAAGCAAGCAAGCAAGCAAGCAAGCAAGCAAGCAAGCAAGCAAGCAAGCAAGCAAGCAAGCAAGCAAGCAAGCAAGCAAGCAAGCAAGCAAGCAAAGCAAGCAAGCAAGCAAGCAAGCAAGCAAGCAAGCAAGCAAGCAAGCAAGCAAGCAAGCAAGCAAGCAAGCAAGCAAGCAAGCAAGCAAGCAAGCAAGCAAGCAAGCAAGCAAGCAAGCAAGCAAGCAAGCAAGCAAGCAAGCAAGTCAACAAAAACACTTGGACATTTAAACACATCACAGGGCTGGCTTCCAAACAATTTGCAGACCCCCAACCAAAAATAAGAAATGCGAGGAACCTGGGAATCAAACATTTTATGGTAGGTCTGCCAGCAAAATGGTAGCTACTGCAATGATCAACTCTTGCCCCTCTCAGCTCGTACGGCCGGATTTGAAAATGAGCCCTGGCCATTGCCAGAAAAGCGCCATGGACCAAGCCCTCTGCATGGCTAACCCCGCAGCTCCTGCCTGGCCCTGGCTTTGCACAGAGATGTTCCTGCCATATTCGTGGGTACCCAGGAGCCAATGAAGCGGCTGGTGCATGTCCTGCCAAAAGCGACGGGGCGGAAAGAAATGATTCCATGGCCGACCTTGAAAGAGGAATCCCAGATTCGCCGACGGCCTTCTCAATTGACAATTTCGCAACATGTTAATGCATGGTGAGGTGTGGTTGCGCAAAAAAAATCTCCAAACTATGCAATAACACAGAAGAATGGCTTGTAAGTCTATGCTGCTCTGTGTTGGTTCTTGTGCTCTCTTTGTGGCATGCTGCCTAAGATGGCAGAGCTAACGGCTCCTAAAGAAACTCGACCAATCGAACACCCATGAGGAGAATGCAGCGAGATCTGGGTGGCCAATGAACGCGACAAACCAGCCGCGAAAATGCATGCGTGCACACTGATTTACGGCTGTGCATTCCTCCCAAAGACTCGAATTCCGCAACGCACCACCAGTCCCCGATGAAGATTGCAAGCCATCGTAGTTCATCTTCCGTCGACTTCAGCATCTCCTCAAGAATCACAGCTCTCACTCTGAAAGCATCTCGAATGTCTTTGCATTCGCAAATGGCACGCAACTTCCGTGCTCAAGTCAATGAACAATTGGAACCCTCGGCAGAGGATATTCAAACACTCCGTCCTTCAAACGGCTCACTTTCTTTCAAAGACACCAAAGACTTGACAAGCAAACAGTCAGCCGAAAACACGTCTAGAGCCATGCCGTGACCAAACTAACTGGCATGAAATCGACAAAAACCTATCCAACGTGAATACGGCTCAGTTTTGACTGGAACAACTGTTCAAAAAGCAAGGGCCGACAACTCCCCTCCAATTCGCTCCTCATAGTGCTTTGCCTGCGGGAGAGCTCTCAGCTCCGCCCAGTAATCCGAGCGAGCCATAGACATCCTGCCGAGCAGTGAATTGTGTTGACCCGAACATGTACAATACCCTGCACGAGTTTAGTATGAGCTTCTCTACGATACATTTGGCCATGATATTGATGCGGGTCGCGCACATTGTGCTTCAAGTGGTGTGGCTCTCACCCACACAACCGCCTTCAGGCTATACTCTGCCTTAGTCACGACGATCCCTTCCGGATAAAGGTAGCCACACAACTAAGAATCAAAGGCAGTATAATTACATTCAATTGGTTGGCTTATGATTCAAACAACTCCACACAATCGCACACAAACCACAGGCCAATGTTGCTCGCTCATCAATTCCATGCTGGGGCTTGGGTAGCAATCTGTTGGGTTGGTTGTGACATAGTGCAACAACGACAGAGTGCACGGTGCGTGGCTGTATGTGTCTACACTGTAGATGAGTGCTGAGAACGAAGAAGGACTACAAACACCGTTGCATTCACATTAGATCGGTCATGGCTGACAGGGCAAAAAATGTTCAGCCTGCTCAGGCCGATGAATGCCGCATGGGAACACTGCCGTGTCACTCGAAAATATAGCATGATTGCTGCATTTGGTGAAACAGTGGTCAGTCTCTGTGTGTGTGTGTGTGTCCGCTTCCCGGCTGTAGAAGAAAGGGTCAAGATTGCCCATAAGAGACTAACATAGACTAACCAAATCCCACTTCAGCGAATCATGCCCTGCTTAGCCTGAAAACCACGGAGTCAGTCCTAAAGAAGTCCGATTTGGGATACTCTCGCAGCAAGGCATCGTGCGTAAAGCGCTCAAAGGTGAGGGCTACTGCACCTCACATCGGCTGTCCGGGGAGCCACGCGAACAAGAAAAGCGCACGCAGCTTGGGTGTTCCAGCAATTTGGCAGTTTCAACCACTTTGAAACACGCTACTCAGCCTCTGACATGCCCAAGAAACTCAACAAACCGGCTACAAGTCCTCGAAGAAAAATCATCAGTTCTTGCCGCCCAGATCTCTTCCCATCCTTTTCAAACTTACAAACTCCCAGAACTGCTGCAGCAACAGAAAAAAAGGGCACAAAGATCCATCTGTTGATTCCTTACCTTACACGCCTTTATGTTTCCAATGAATGGATGGCTTGGAAGGGCACCACTCGAATGACAACTTCTTCTTCCAGCCCCAAAATCTGCCATCCGCCATGTGCCAAGGCGCAAAGCAGCGAGAAATAACCTGGCCACAAGAACTGCCAACTGCCCGGATGGGCCAGGCCATGGGTCGGAAGCCTGTCTGTGAGAGGTCGCTCTTTGGGCTTTCCGGGGATCACCTCCACCCAAACCTTGTGAGGCTTTCCTCGAGTATCTTTTAGCTGTCTGCACTCCTTTTAGGCTTGGCAGTGCAACACTTTGTCACCTGCTGAATTCACAATACAGCGGTAACTGGGATGGGTTTTTGCAAAGTCACGGCTTCCCATTCAATTGCAGCCAATCCTCCACTAGAGCTCTGGGCCGACAAATGATGCAAGTCATCCTCCAGCTGCTCTTTCCCGATTTGTGGCACGGACTCTTGATCCCCTGCTTGCTGCCGAGCGGCTAGCTTCAGAGCCATCGCAATGCACCTGGCAGCAGATGAAACCTTGGAAGGAGTACTTCCGGCTGCTGTCTTGAAGCTCACTCGCACCCTTGCATTGTGGGTGTGAAGGAAGTCGGGGACAAGCGGCGTGCATTCGTCACACAGTTTAAAATTGCAGATATTAAGCGGTATACCTTAGATCGACAGAGCATCGTTAAGCTCTAGTGGTTTATTGCCTTTTTAGCAGCAGCGATCGCAGCAGCGGTTGTAGTTGTGTTGCCACAGCGATCGCAGCAGCAGAGGCGGCAGCAACAGCAGCAGCAGCAGCAGAAAAACAAAAAAAAACCTGTCTCAGTTGCAAAGCAAACAGCCCTCGGTCAGTTTGATTCCAATCGCTTGCCAGCGCAAACTATTCCAAAAAATGCCACCTTGGCGCCGTCTCGCAAATCACAATGACACCTCAGCCTGTTCAGCTAAAAGAAACTGTTTGCCAGCGCCATCTATTCCAACAAAGATACACCATAGCGCCGTTGAATCAAGAAAGGGGGGGTAACTCAGCTTCCCTCTAGTTGGTGGTTCGGATTCGTGGTTTGGTGATTAAGGAGGGGTTTGTCATCTTCCCGCTGCAAACACCAAGGGTGCAAATCCCCAAACCACCAATCCAAACCACCAACTATCCCCAAACCGATCCAAACCACCAACTATCCGACTATCCCCAAACCGATCCAAACCACGAACTATCCGACTGTCCCTGAACCGATCCAATCCACCAATTATCCGACTATCCCTGAACCGATCAAAACCACCAACTATCCGACTATCCCCGAACCGATGCAAACCACAAACTATCCGACTATCCCTGAACCGATCCAAACCACCAACTATCCGACTATCCCTGAACCGATCCAAACCACCAACTATCCGACTATCCCCAAACCCATCCAAACCACCAACTATCCGACTCTCCCTGAACCGATCCAAACCACCAACTATCCGACTATCCCCAAACCGATCCAAACCACCAACTATCCGACTATCCCTGAACGGATCCAAACCACCAACTATCCGACTATTCCCAAACCGATCCAAACCACAAACTATCCGACTATCCCGAAACCCATCCAAACCACCAACTATCCGACTATCCCCAAACCGATCCAAACCACCTATCCGACTATCCCCAAACCGATCCAAACCACCAACTATCCGACTATCCCTGAACCGATCCAAACCACCAACTATCCGACAGCCCCAAACCGATCCAAACCACCAACTATCCGACTATCCCCAAACCGATCCAAACCACCAACTATCCGACAGCCCCAAACCGATCCAAACCACCAACTATCCGACTATCCCCAAACCGATCCAAACCACCAACTATCCGACTATCCCCAAACCGATCCAAACCACCAACTATCCGACTAGCCCCAAACCGATCCAAACCACCAACTATCCGACTATCCCCAAACCGATCCAAACCACCAACTATCCGACTATCCCCAAACCGATCCAAACCATCAACTATCCGACTATCCCTGAACCGATCCAAACCACCAACTATCCGACTATCCCCATCCAAACCACAAACTATCCGACTATCCCCAAACCCATCCAAACCACCAACTATCCGACTATCCCCAAACCGATCCAAACCACCAACTATCCGACTATCCCCAAACCGATCCAAACCACCAACTATCCGACTATCCCTGAACCGATCCAAACCACCAACTATCCGACTATCCCTGAACCGATCAAAACCACCAACTATCCGACTATCCCCAAACCCATCCGAACCACCAACTATCCGACTATCCCCAAACCGATCCAAACCACCAACTATCCGACTATCCCCAAACCGATCCAAACCACAAACTATCCGACTATCCCTGAACCGATCCAAACCACCAACTATCCGACTATCCCCAAACCGATCCAAACCACCAACTATCCGACTATCCCCAAACCCATCCAAACCACCAACTATCCGACTCTCCCCAAACCGATCCAAACCACCAACTATCCGACTATCCCCAAACCGATCCAAACCACCAACTATCCGACTATCCCTGAACCGATCCAAACCACCAACTATCCGACTATCCCTGAACCGATCCAAACCACCAACTATCCGACTATCCCCAAACCGATCCAAACCACCAACTATCTGACTATCCCCAAACCGATCAAAACCACCAACTATCCGACTATCCCCAAACCGATCCAAACCACAAACTATCCGACTATCCCCAAACCGATCCAAACCACCAACTATCCGACTATCCCCAAACCGATCCAAACCACCAACTATCCGACTATCCCTGAACCGATCCAAACCACCAACTATCCGACTATCCCGATCCAAAGCACAAACTATCCGACTATCCCCAAACCCATCAAAACCACCAACTATCCGACTATCCCCAAACCGATCCAAACCACAAACTATCCGACTATCCCTGAACCGATCCAAACCACCAACTATCCGACTATCCCTGAACCGATCCAAACCACCAACTATCCGACTATCCCCAAACCCATCCAAAAGACCAACTATCCGACTATCCCCAAACCCATCCAAACCACCAACTATCCGACTATCCCTGAACCGATCCAAACCACCAACTATCCGACTATCCCCAAACCCATCCGAACCACCTATCCGACTATCCCCAAACCGATCCAAACCACCAACTATCCGACTATCCCCAAACCGATCCAAACCACCAACTATCCGACTATCCCTGAACCGATCCAAACCACCAACTATCCGACTATCCCCAAACCCATCCAAACCACCAACTATCCGACTATCCCCAAACCCATCCAAACCACCAACTATCCGACTATCCCTGAACCGATCCAAACCACCAACTATCCGACTATCCCTGAACCGATCCAAACCACCAACTATCCGACTATCCCCAAACCCATCCAAACCACCAACTATCCGACTATCCCTGAACCGATCCAAACCACCAACTATCCGACTATCCCCAAACCCATCCAAACCACCAACTATCCGACTATCCCTGAACCGATCCAAACCACCAACTATCCGACTAGCCCCAAACCGATCCAAACAACCAACTATCCGACTATCCCTGAACCGATCCAAACCACTAACTAACTATCCGACTAGCCCCAAACCGATCCGACTAGCCCCAAACCAATCCAAACCACCAACTATCCGACTACCCCTGAACCGATTCAAACCACCAACTATCCGACTATCCCCAAACCGATCCAAACCACCAACTATCCGACTATCCCCAAACCGATCCAAACCACCAACTAACCGACTATCCCCAAACCCATCCAAAAGACCAACTATCCGACTATCCCCAAACCCATCCAAACCACCAACTATCCGACTATCCCTGAACCGATCCAAACCACCAACTATCCGACTAGCCCCAAACCGATCCAAACCACCAACTATCCGACTATCCCTGAACCGATCCAAACCACCAACTATCCGACTATCCCTGAACCGATCCAAACCACCAACTATCCGACTAGCCCCAAACCGATCCAAACCACCAACTATCCGACTATCCCCAAACCGATCCAAACCACCAACTATCCGACTATCCCTGAACCGATCCAAACCACCAACTATCCGACTAGCCCCAAACCGATCCAAACCACCAACTATCCGACTAGCCCCAAACCGATCCAAACCACCAACTAAGGGTTACCTGACTGCCTGTTGGGGTTTCTTCAACCCAAAGGCTTGACGTCCCGCCTGGCCCTGGCTGCCCAGGCCCTCCCCGCAGCGCCACTCCGGCTGCTGCCGGTGGAAGTGGAAGGGCACCGTCTCCGGCGAAGCGGCCTCTGACGAGAATCCGCCGAGCCCAACAGTCCAAGGGTGAGGCGCATGGGAAGGAGGGGGCTCCAAGCACATGGCGACCACGAGAATAAAGCAACTCAAAAAAAAACGGGGGCAGAGGACGTGAAGACAGGCTCGACACAAAGGGGTTTTCAAAAAAGATCTCAACGAAACAGAGTTTGTAAAAAGGTGGTAAACAAGGGGGATTCAACACGTAGCAAACATTCATGTAGCGACCGTCTTGTGGGTTCCTGCGGGAAACACTGGCATAGAATCTATTAAACGCAATGAACTGTTGAGCGGTGACTGTGTTATTGCTGTAGTAGCTTCATTCATAAATCAAAGCAACTGCTTCAATCGTTGTAGCCACCTATTCTTCAAACAAACACACCCTTACAGTACCCCAGTTCAATCGCACCAGACCCCGTTGGAAATAATGTGATCTACCTGGTTCCCAAAAGACCGCCCTCGCAGAGTGATAGGCTTGGAGCGACCAAAAAGGAAATTGTGAACTGCTTATGATCTGCTAGGTCGATGGCCTCACCAACACCCAGCAGCGCCCGCCCAAATCAGCCTACTCATCTGTTCGTCTTGGGCAGAAGGCCGTCCAATTCGCCCCAAAATCAGCCTGGAACAAACAGCACCTTGCCCATGGAGCGAACACGTCAGGCCCATGGCCAACGGCCAAGCTGAGGCACGGCGAGCTTCTCCTCGTAGTGAGCAAAGTCCACCAGGTTGCCCTTTAGCAACTCCTTCACCTTTCTGTTTGCAAATGGGAATGTGTTTTTGAGGCTAGCCTGTGCACCTTAGTTGTAAGGGTAACTAGATGGACACGTCACCCATTTTGATATACAGATGTTGTCAGAAGAGACACTCATCACTTCAGGCTTGAACTTGCTTGGACGTTGCATCTTGGGAACGAGGCAGAGACTCAAAACAATCGAGACCAAACAACGAAACTCTGCAGAACGCCATTTGAGCTTGCATGAGAATGCCCTTGGACGGCATCCAACATACAACATCCGCAGCACAGGCCCGGGCAAACGGCAAGCAATGCAAAACAAGGAAGCTCAGGGTCAACTACGCACACTGAGTTTTGGTTCAAGGGGACCACCATGACTAAACAAAAACATCAAACTGTAAACACAATCAGCCACCATATATGTGTGTGTGGCTCAAAACTAACCAGCTAGGGTTACGCGATTTTTGGTCGTTGTTTCCATTTACCAAGGTTCAATTTTGGTACATTCATTTGAGCCACAGCCATATGCCTACTGTCTGGCCCATTAACTTTGGTCCTGCCTTCTGCCGGGACTTCTCTTTCAGAAAGCCCTGAGCTGCCATAGCGATGTGTAAGTGCCCGGCTCCTGGCCCAGAACTCAACTACGCTACAGGCCACGCTCCATTCGCCTATGGGACAGGTACAGTGATTGTTTGGCAGCTTCGAGTGAGGCGAAACCAGTTCAACAGGGATCCTTACACCTGATCATTGCCTTGTACATGGTGGTTTCCCTTTACCTTGGTGGAAAAAGCCATGTTTCAATTGGGCAAAATGTATCTTTTAAGGAGCCCAGTTCAAACCACGCGGGTGTTTTCCATTCGAAAGGATGGTGAGAAGCCATCCTGTCCTTCAACTGGTTGCAAAATGAATTGATTTTAAGGAGCCCTGTTCAAACCACGCGGGAGGTTTCCAGTCAAAAGGGGATGGTGAGATTAGGCCCGGGTCCTGACCAGGCAGCTGCCGGAACGCACAGCAGCAAGTACCACCATGGCATGGCAGACAGCTGGCAATTGCAACGTGGAACTAAGCCAACTTCGAACCACTTCCGGGATGATGATGGTATGATATGGTATGTGTGTGTGTGTGTTGATGGGTGTGGGTGTGGGTGTGGGTGTGGGTGCGGGTGTGGGTGTGGGTGGGGGGGTGTTGGCGTGGGGGTGGGTGCGTGGGTGTGCGTGTATGTTTGTGCAAGTGCGCGTCTGTTGCTTGATTCGCTATCTTTCTGCCACAAAGTCCAACACGCTCACTGCAGTCAAAAGTATGCATTCTGCTGCAGAGCAACTCTGGTGCCTTCAAGTAAGTGACGCTATGTCTTCTGCTCGCTGGTCTTTCTCGGAAGAGTAATTGGCAGGTGTTTGAGCTTGCTGCTTCCGGCTACTCAGCGATTTAGTCTCTCCGTGGAGTCGTGCCCGTGATCCTGTTGTTCCGAGCCGTGCGTTTCTTCGCTTCTTACTTCATGTCAGCAGAATAAGGAACTCCTAGCGTCCAGCAACATGCATCAAGCCAGGTGATCGGCATGTCATAAATTAGTCTCGTGCACAGTAGCCGAAGGGAACAATCGGGCCACCCTGCGTTGTTGACCCACCGTGGGGAAACCACTGAACACAAAGGAACAAACGGCTCCAGCAACCAACCCGAATTCGAGCGGAAGCTTCAAGCCCATGATTCACACCCGGGCTTGATGTCAAACCACCGCGCGACCAACAAAACCGCACAGCATTTGCTTGTGCCTCGTGTGTACAAGTATGCAACGCTTCAAAGCCTCCTGGGCCTCCCCTCAAAATCAGTCAAAGCATCAACGCAGAACCACTAGCAATCATCTCTCTCATATATATATATATATATTAATATTGCAATGCGTGCTGCTTTCCAGATCTTTGGGTCCATACCACCGGCTGCAAGTGCATCCGAAGTTTGGCACCCTTTTCCGCCTGACGGGAAGAAATTGGCAACCCCTGGCTCCGACGCTGTGTCAGAGACTCGCAAGCTATGCGCTTGAGCTGGGAACCTCTGAGTGGAACCTACTTGGGTGCTGTAGATCCCCAGCAAAAAGTTTGACTTGTTGCTGGTTAAAAGGAAATATGAGGGGAATCCAAAAAGTTAAAGTCTAAAGATCCAGCCCAATAGCAGTAGAGCCTAGTAACCCGCACGTCACCGCCCGAACTGGCGGCTATCAGCCAGTCTTCTCGCGACCCCCATCCGCCCCACGCCCTGGCACGCAAGACCCAAACACAGCAGGATTCCATGCGTATAGATGTGTGGCACCATCTTCAGAACAACTATTGAAGGTTTCACAAACGGTCCTCAAAAAGGCCCCTTCCACAACTTGAGCGTCCACAACTTGAGCGCCATCAACTCTGCAAATCACCAGTTCTTCTGACGTCACAGCTTGTAAAGCTTGGAAGTCTGGGTTGATGCACTTGGAGACCAAGGCACATGCTCTTTCCAAATAGCAGGATAACTGCCGAAACCCCAAAACATGGGTAACCACACACATTGGACACAGCCACGTAAAACTATGTGGAGGGGGTTGCAATATGGACATGGTGACCTAGGATTGGGCTTCCCGTAGGTGAATGTTACTGGCTTGATGCATGGCAAGGTTGGACACCCCCACGATTCTGACAAATGAATCAGCTCGCCCTAGGCGTCGAAGCCCTTTCCAGTTTTCCACATTAAACGTGACACTTGCAGCCTTCAATTATACTATTTTAATCGTTGAAGTCCTTTTTGTTTTTTAATCGAATTCTTTACCAAGTTCATCACTAATTCTGCAATGTTGTCTGCAGCAACAAAACACCAGCTACGCCCTGCATAAGGGAAACGAAACTATTCTCAATATTAGAGCCACACACCTGGGTTCCCAACGTTGTGGATGCCTTGAAACGGAAGCCCCCGTTGCCCCACATGGCGGGGTCGCATCTATTTTTGGAAATACCCATCCCTGTTCACGTGGTTTCTGCCTCGCCTTTTATCCGCGCGCCTTGAAGACTTCCCGCAGATCCCCGAGAACACCTGGCCGGGCGAACGCGACCGATCCAATCCCCGAGGTGCCCAGCGGCTTTGTACCTCGCGGCTTGCATTGCCCTTTGAAGTTTGTCGTTTGAACGATGTGTGGCACGTGCAAGCCGTAAAACTGCAGAATGCTGTTTCCTCTGCCTCCTGCTTCGCTGACGTTGACGTTAAACATGCCGTGCGAACCAAGCAACCGCAAGAAGTGCATACCGATTTGCAGTAAACTACATTGTCGACCTTCGTATTGCGGCATCACCGAATCCGGCAGCCGCAGGCCTCAGGCTGACGCATGCTTGCAACACATGGAGGTCTCTCCGACAAAAAGAGATGCTTGCGTGTCGCCCAATACCAATATCATGTGAAGAGAAAAACGTTCGAATACAAAACTTCGGCGCGGCGCGAGTACTCGAATAGCGCTTGCCCTCTGACAGCTTGTCAACATCAGCCACAAAAAGGCGGCACTGGAGGGAAAGTTGATTCTGACAATGTCACCGGAGGTAATGGTCACCGAACGCTAAACTCCTTACAAGGACTCCCACATGGGGGCCCTCCAAGGCTTAAACTTGCCTACTCCAAATACCCAGCTATTTTCAGGGTATGATGTCGACCCTCTACTACAAAAGAAGGTGTTTGCCATGAAACCCCAAACATGCCATGATCCGGCCACGGGTTTCCACTCGTGGCTCGCCCTCGTCGTCGCTGCGTGGTGGTGTGGTGGTGGGTGGTGGCGCATCTTCGTGGTTGTGGTGTGGTGGTTGCGGTGGTGTGGTGGTGTGGTGTGGGTGGTGTGGGTGGGGTGTGGGAATCCCATTGTGGTCGTCCTCCTCGAGGATGTCGTGCACGGTGAGGTGGAGGTTGTCGGGGCTGTCGGAGTTGTCGGGGTTGGTAGTTCACCGGACACTTGTGATCAAGTTGTTGGGCTTGCAGAAAAATAGGGATTGTTTTGTTGAGGATTGTTAAAAGGAAAAGCAAAGGAACAGAACTCATGTTGTTTGCTTCTTAAAGGGGGTCCCCAGACTTGTAAACAAAACCACTACAAGCTTGCAAGCACGTTGATGATGCCGGTGAATTAGTCACAGGCCGCACCTGCCTCGATTTCCATACTGGGCAACCCTTGTTCAGCCTCAAGCGGCAAGACTTACAAAGCAAGCACTGTCTTTGCAAAAAGACGCTGTCGCTTTTTGTCAAGAAGAAGCAGTCAGAATTGACTCACCGGGGATTCGACCAGCCTCCACCCTTACGTTGAATTCTAGCTCCCCTACCTTGGCTACGTACATCTGGACGCACACCTCCAATGGCCACCATGCAAACATGATTGCCAGTTGCTCTGGCCATCCAACTGGTAACAATGTCGCGACTGATCTTCAGCCGGATTTAGGACCCGTGTTGTATCCGCCACTCGAGCCAGCTGGCTGTATCCGGCTGGGCCCAGCTCAGAATTCACGTCAGGATCTCGCTGACCAGCAACGACCTCGTGTCCGGCAAGAACTGCGCGATGTGTGGAAGTACTCGAAGCCGAACTCGGCGATGCAAACCTACGGCAAAGCCTCGGTTGACGTTGGAAGGGGACCAAGAATCCTAAATTTCAGCAGTTAAGTGGGGATTTCAACCACTAAACCACGATAAGCAAAGATGTAAAATGATTCCCAACAACATCCATGAAGCCCGCATCAGGCGCAAAGCCAGCTGCCACTGGGTGCCCTTCCGACAGGCACTGATGGCTGCATTGAAGCTGACCTCGTTGGGGTCTACTTTGGCCTGCGGCATGGCATCGAACCTAGGCTGGACTTAGGACCCCAGCAAACAAATGATGTGTTTTGCCTGGTTCGTGGAAAACAAAGGGACCCCAAAAGAGCAACAACAAAAAGAAGCATTTTGTTTGCCTGGTTCGTGGAAAACAAAGGGACCCCAAAAAAGCAACAACAATAAAAAGCAGCATTTTGTTTGCCTGGTTCGTGGAAAACAAAGGGACCCAAAAAGCTAAACACAAAAAGACAGCATTTGTTTTTGCCTGGTTCGTGGAAAACACAGGGACCCCAAAAAAAGAAACAAACAAAAGCAGCATCTTGCATGCCTGGTTCGTGGAAAACAAAGGGACCCAAAAAGCTAAACACAAAAAGACAGCATTTGTTTTTGCATGGTTCGTGGAAAACAAAGGGACCCCAAAAAAACTAAACACAAAAAGGCAGCATGTGTTTTGCCTGGTTCGTGGAAAACAAAGGGAACCCAAAGAAGCAAACAACAAAAACGGAGCAATTGTTGTTGCATGGTTCGTGGAAAACAAAGGGACCCCAAAAAAGCAAAAACAAACAGCGAGCATCTGTTGTTGCCTGGTTCGTGGAAAAACAAAGGGACCCCAAAAAAGCAACAACAAAAAAGGGAGCACTTTTTCCGGCCTGGTTCGTGGAAAACAAAGGGACCCCAAAAAAGCAACAACAATAAAAAGCAGCATTTTGTTTGCCTGGTTCGTGGAAAACAAAGGGACCCCAAAAAAGCAACAAACAAAACATCATTTTTTCGGCCGGGTTCGTGGAAAACAAAGGGACCCCAAAAAAGCCCAAAAAAAACAACAACAAGGGGAGCTAATTCCTGGCAGGAAACAAGCCCAGCGCCTGCTGCCACTGTGCTCCCTTGTCACAAGCGCTGATGCTTGCGTTGAAGGTGATCTGGTCTGGGCCAAGCGCACCTTCCAGCATGGTGCGCAAGAACCCTATGGCCAGCTGCCACTCGGCACTCTTGCCACAGGCGCTGATGCTTGCATTCAAACTGAACAGGTCCGGCTGCAGCTTTGCTTCTGGCATGGCCCTCAGGAGGGCCAGGGAGAGCTGCCACTGGCTCCCATTTCTGCAGGAGCTGATCATTGCGTTGAAGCAGAACTCATTGGGCTGAACTTCGGCAGGCATCGCCCGGAAAAGGTCCAGGGCCTGTTGCCACTGCATACCCTTTCCGCAGGCACTGATGCATGCAGAAAAGCTCATCTCGTTGGGGCACACCTGCGCTTTCCCCATAGCTTCCAGGAGTTGAACGGCCTGCTTCCATTGGGCACCCTTTTCGCAGGCACTGATGGTGGCACTATAGCTGATTTCATTGGCTTGGACACTTCTCTCCAACATGGAGCGAAACAGGCTCAAGGCTTGCTGCCACTGCGCCCCCTTTTCGCATGCACTGATGGCTGCACTAAAGCTGACGTGGTTTGGATACATGTTCGCCTCAGGCATGCGCCACAAAAGCCCAACAGCATGCTGCCACTGTGCACCTTTTTCGCATGCACTGATGGTGGCATTGAAGCTTATTTGGTCGGGAGCAAGCGTTGCAGGGGTCATGGCCTGAAAAAAGAAAAGTGCCTTCTCCCATTGCAAGCCCTTCTCGCATGCGCTGATGGTTGAGTTGAAGCTGATATTGTTCTGATGCACCCTTGTGTCAGGCATAGTGCCGAACAACCCCAAAGCATGCTGCCAGACTGCGCCCCTCTCACATGCACTGATCGTCGCATTAAAGCTGATCTCACTCGGTAGCACATGAGTCTGAGGCATGGTCTCAAACAAGCTCAACGCCCTTTGCCATTGGCCAGCCTTCTCACAGGCACTGATGGCTGCGTTGAAGCTGATCACATTGGCCTGTACTTTCGACTGCATGCCCTGAAGCAGGCTTAGTGCTTTCTGCCACTCTGCACCTTTCTCGCAAGCACTGATCGTTGCATTGAAGCTAATCTGTCCAGGATAGATGCGGCACAAATGCATAGACCCAAACAATTCAAATGCTATCTGCCACTGTGTGCCCTTTGCACATGCGCTGATGGTGGTATTAAAGCTGACCTGGTCAGGGGTGAGTTTAGACTTGGGCATCGCTTGAAGCAAGTCAAGAGACTCCCGCCAAAGCTCACACTTCTCGCAGGCAGATATGGTCACATTCAAGCTAAATATGTCAGGCTGCACCTGGTTTTCAGGCATGCTGTCAAAAAGGTCAAGCGCTTGTTGGCACTGCGCACCCGAGCTCAAGGCGCTGATGAGAGAATTTAAACAAATCTGATTTGGCTCGAGCTGAGCCGCAGGCATTGATCGGAAGATGTAGCTGGCCTGTTGCCATTGCGCACCACGTCCAAATGCATTGATGATTGCGTTGAAGCTAAATGTGTCAGCTTGTACTTGAGCTTCTGGCATGGCCTGAAATAATCCCCACGCCCGCTGCCATTGCCCTCCCTGCGCACAGGCACCGATTGCCGCATTGAAGCTGACCTGAGTGGGGCCAACCCTTGCTGCCACCATGGCGCCGAAGAGCCTCGAAGCGCGCTGCCACTGGCCCTTGCAGGCGGTGATTGCTGCACTGAAGCTGTAGACGTCTGGCTGCAGCTCCGCTCCAGGCATGGCCGCCAAGAGTGAGCAGGCATCCTGCCACAAACCGTGCCTTGCGCAGGCGGAAATCCCTGACACGAAATGCCTGGCATCTCTCCACCCATGGTCCTGCATCACCAGTAGAGTGTCAAGCATCAGACCTGCGCGTTGCCCGGCCGCCAGGGCTTCAAAGATATCCTTGACAAATGCCCGCCAATGCGCCGCTTCAAACACAGAGCGGATGGAGTCTTTCGAGGGCCTTTCCTCCAACTCGCACAAAGCGGCGCCAAGCTCCCTCGCACGCGTTTGCGCCTTTCTGAGGAAGTGGCGTGCTTGCATTCCAAAGACTCGAAGCAAGGCTTTTGCGGTGACATGGCTGCCTGTGCTCGCGAGGCCGCCCCAAGGCCGGAGTCTTCACCTCCCAAAAGCTTGGACATCTGCTTTGCACATGGGCAGACTGGCGCAGCCATGGCGCGATGCCATAGGTGCAATGACCTTTAAGGGCGACCATGCGTCCGTCTGCAATGAGTGCTCGACACGTGAGCCGTGATGGAAGCTGGTTGACATGAGCAAGAATAAGTGATCATCGGCCTGAATTTTGGGCTGCTCGCCCCAACCGCGCCAGGACAGAATGAGAGAAGGGGCGAGGCGTTGATTAACCCGCTCTTCATTGAAAGATACGGAAAGCACATGTTGCCTGTTGCCATGTCCCCTTTGTCAGTGGCAAAAAGGAGACCAGGTGTTCTCCCTCGCAGTAAATCTTTGCATTCCTCCAGGATCAGGTAGCGGGGTTGTCTCCATGCAAGATCATTTCCGGCTTCTTCCGTTCGCCCAGGAGAAACTTTAGATAGGGAGGAGAGCAAGGGCCCCCGCACCCTAAAGGTTTCTAGAGTTTCAGGGTTCTGAGAACGGCGTCGGGGGGGTGGGGGGGTGGGGGTCTAAGGTTCTCTCCTTCATTCGTATCCTCATGCTCTGAGAAAGGGATCTTGCCTCCGTCTCACCTGTCACTCTGCCGGCTGAGCCTGCGGCATCTTTTAGCCGCTGCGAGCTGGTGGTACCCCGCCCAAGGAAGAAAGCCAACCTGGCAAAGGCGGTGGTTTTCCTTTTGTTTGTATTTCCTATAAGTTTAATGTAACTATAATTATGTATATGTTAATATATATGTATATATATATATATATATACGTCCCTTGGGGCCGGAATATACGTCGGCTGGAGTTCTGGATCTCTGGATCTCTGGATGTCTGGATGTCTGGATCTCTGGATCGCTGGATCGCTGGATCTCTGCATCTCTGCATCGCTGGATCGCTGGATCTCTGGATGGAACTCTAGATCTCTGGACTCCCCTCCCCCCCCCCTCCCCCCCCCTCACCTCCTCCCCTGTGTCCGCTGCGCATGCGCATGCGTAGGTTTATGTGCACGAGTGCATTGGTCTGTTCATGTGTGTGCGTGTGTGGGCGCATGTGCAGTCGGGCCGACATTCTGAGCCCTATCGGGGCGGCGGAACCAGGCCGCAGGCCATTAAATATTTGAGTAGAGCCGCGTGAGCATGCTCAACCCTACGTCCTGGTCGGTCTTTGGCCGGTATGTCAAACAATGTTCCGCGATTCACTCAAGCTGGTTGTGCAATGTGTTTCGCGGTCTATTCGAGCCGTGTCAGCACACAGCAAACAAAACTCGTGACAAAAATGAGTCGGCTTGCCGGCCCCTAAGCAGGAACACACACCCTGAATCTTCGCCCACAACTGGCTCCATGAGCCCGCGTAGTTCCGACAAACAAATCAGATCTGCTGGCACCATTCCCAGAAACGCTACCTTCTTGAGTTGTTCCCCAGCTTTTTGGGCAGTGGATTCGTCGAGTTTTCAGTCAAAAGCGGCTGTACCACCGTTCTATGTCACACTGGCAACATTGAAATATAAACTAGACTCCTTTCAAGCTGGCTGCCCGGCCAGCAGTCCAATAACTGCCCAATTAGCTTTGCAACTGATGCCAATAGAAACAAACAGAGATTCAAAGCTGACTCCCCTTTCCGTATGTGTGCGAATAGACCTATACATATATACATATTCACACCCACACACACACACACACACACACACACACCAAGAATCACATTTGGAGCATGCGGATCATTTCACCCTTGAAAACCACTGGTATTTACAGCATGTTTTGCATGTTTGGGATGTACAAATACAAGGAACTACTAGGCCGGCTTTCGGTCTGCGACAAGGTGCTCCTCAGAAGTGAACATTGCAAAACAAAAAGGTGTGTTTTTGATATGTTTCTTGGCCAAGTGCGAAAAAAAAACATCCCGGTTTACCATTTTTGACTAAGAACATGTTGTATTCAAGATGCAATGTTTGCTATCCTTTCGTTGCTGAATTTGTGCGGCTGTATCTCCTTTTACTCTTGAATTATTGTTAGCAAGGGTTAGGGTACCACAGCTCTCGCCGGATTTGTTTTGCTGCATCTCCCCGTACTCATCAAACACAAAAAGCTCAAGAGGAGCAACAAAACAACGGCGAAAACACCTTCGAGAAAACCAAAAACCAAAAGAATGGCTGGTCTGGCCTCATGCTTTTTGTTTTTTTTTTGGTTTTCTCGAGTTGGTTTTGGTTTTGATTGATTTTCCTCGAGTCTTTTTTTGTGCTATTGGAGTCCAACAAGTTGTTTTATGTTCATGCCCCTCACCCATGAAACATCAAACAACAGTCGGGATCTTGTTGGATTTAACCAAGAAAAATGGAAAACCGAAAAACAAAACAAAACCAAAACAAGAGACAGAAAACCAAAAACCCAAGAGAATGGCTTGTCTGGCCTCAGGTGTTTGGTTTCTTGGCTTTCTCGATGTTTTTGGGATCTGCTTGGTTTTCCTCGGGTGTTTTCGATGCTTTGAGCTTGCGGAGTCAAAAAAGAACAGGACTTGTTTTGCTTTTGATGAGTGAGAGGCATGAAAAAAAACAAAAAAACTCCTGTGATTTTTTGGTTTTGGACTCCAAAACCTCAAACGCCAAAAACACGAGGAACACCAAAAACAACTAAAAAAAAACTCGAGAAAACAAACAAGCACATAAACCTGAGGCCAGACCAGGCATTCTCTTGGGTTTTTGGTTGTTTGGTTTCCTCGAGTTGTTTTGGTTCTTCTCGAGTTTTGTTTTGGGGGGTATTGGTCAGCTTGTTTCAAGACTTGAAAGGCCTGTGCGGACTCCAGCGATGTGCTGGCTCAGCCCTGGTGAACATCAAAATAGGTGGCAAATGGGTGTTCATCCACCCCAAAATGGAGCCACAGGTTGTGCCCCATGGCCAGGTTGCAATGTGAAAGCCTGTTTCCAATAGGACAAGTCCTCGTAAGGCTCCTCCTTCTGCAGCTTTCAAGGCTCCTGGGTGACAAGGTTCCTGAATGAAACGGCTCCATGCAAGGCTCGCTCCTTATAAGGCTCAACTCCTAAAAAAACACCTTATAAAGGCTCCTTGTCAAACTGCTTGTAAAACGACTTTCGAAGCTCCTTCTACAGCTCTTGTTAAGGCTCCACATAGCACGCGCAACTCCTTGTAGAGCTGCTTGCAATTACACGGCTCTATTTAAGGCTCGTTTCAAGGCCCCTTATAAGGCTCCTAAAAGGCTCCCTGTACTTGTAAAGTTATTGTAAAGATGCTTGTAAAGCTGTTTAAGGCTCATTGTAACGCTCCTTAGAAGCTCCTTGAAACAAATTCTTAAAAGGCTCCTTATCAAGCTCCCGTTTAAGCCTCCTAAAAGGCTCTTGAGACTTGAAGAGCTGCCTATGGGGCTCCTTGCGCAGCTCCTGTTAAAGCTCCTTATTTAAAAAAAAACTCCAAGGCCATAAGGCTCACCATACCAAATTCGCCTCGGCGCAGTCTAAGACTGGTCTCAAAGTATGCCAGCCTGAGACTAGCCTCAGGCCCTCAGCCTGGCCTCAAGCCTAGCCCAGCCAGCAACTCGCCACCCAGGCCCAGGTATGTATGAAACAGGCCTTGCCCATCCAGCAACCCGCCCAGCCCGCCCAGCCCAAGTTCCAGGTGCAACCAGCAGCGTAGTCCGGCTGCCCGGCAGCCAGCAACCCACCCATGCTTCGCAGCCTCGTGGCTGAGACTAGCTTCAGGCCCAGCCCAACCAGCAACCCACCTCAGCCTATGAGCAGGCTCATGCCAAGGTCAGGTTTGTCTAACGTGTCTGAGACTGGCCCCAGGCCAACGACCAGTCTCACGTGTCTCAAACTGGTCTCAAGCTATGCCAGCTACTAAGCGTGTCAGCCCAGGCTGGCCAGGCCTTGACCTCCTGCTCGCGTCTGGCCCCAAGTCATCCAGCAGGCCCAGCCCCTTCGGCGCAGTCTGAGACTGGTCTCAAAGTATGCCAGCCTGAGACTAGCCTCCAGTCCCTCAGCTGGTGTGTCTTACGTGTCTGCGACTGGCCTCAGGCCCAGCCCAGCCAGCAACTCGCCACCCAGCCTCAGGCCCAAGTGTGTATGAAACACCATCCCAGCCCGCCCAGCCCAAGTTCCAGGCGCAACCAGGCTGCCCGGCAGCCAGCAACGCCCAACCAGCAACCCACCTCAGCCCAGCCTGCCCAGCCCAGGCCCCGGCGCATCTCGAGACAAGCCTGTGGCCCAGCCCAACCAGGCGAGGCCGGCTTGTCTGACTTGTCTGGAGCCAGCTTCAGGCCCAGCCCAACCAGCAACCCGCCACAGCCCAGCCCACCCAGGCCAGCCCAACCAGCCACCCGCCCTAGCAAGGCCCAGCCCGCCCTGCCCAGGCCCCAGGCGCAGGCCTGCCCCAACCAGCAGCCTGGTCCGGCGCATGGCATCAATTGGCCCAACGTGCCCCAGCCCTTCACTCCGGCTGCCCAAGCAGCGCAGCGAACTGGTGCGGTCACAAGCTTTCAGTAGGATTCGGACCTTCCCAACACTGGATTTCGGTGTTCCTGACCCTTCCCTCAAACTAGGCTGGGCCGAGGCGGGCAGCGCGAAGCGTTTACAATTGGATTATCGTTGCAGTTTTGAGGAAATGGCTCATAACAGTTCTGTTAGAATATCTAAGTTGGATAAGATTTTAAAGGGGAATTTCTGTCCACATGATGTGAATGGTAAAGTGCGCATGCAGACTAGCTAATAGGGAAAGAACTCCACTAGACTTCTAGCTTCCGTTAGAACTTGAATAAAACGTCCAAGAGAACATAGCAAGGGAATAAGTCAAAAATTGCCTGGGCCTAAAAGAACTTAAAGTTGAATCCTTTTCATGCGATATAAATATATTTGTAGCTAGAATTGTGATAAAAATAAAGAACTTGAGTGTCTATTTCACTACAGTGCAGTTACTTGGCAATTGCTATGCAACTGGATTTTGAATGTTTATGTCGGTTGATAATTTAATCTGGAATGTCCTTTCCAAACAGGATTTGAATCACAAATGCAGATGCCTACGCCTACATGGTGTGTTTGACGTCTTGGTACGGTGGTGCTGCAAACACGAATGAGAAAATGCAGATGAGCAAATGAGCAAATGAGCAAATGAGCAAATGAGCAAATGAGCAAATGAGCAAATGAGCAAATGAGCAAATGAGCAAATGAGAAGATGATCCTTCAGAGCTGGTTGCATCAGACACGCATGCCCCACATGTAGTTCATGGGCGGGGGTGAATATATATATATATATACATGCTCAGCCCACCGACCATACATGCAACCAACACTTGACAGACATCCACTATTTCGCCAAATGATCTCAATGTCCGTGGTAGGGCGCTGTGTTGAGGCCCAGGATACTTTTGGGTTGCCGCTTGAGGCGCCAACCATTCCGCAATGGGACAATTATGGATGTTGCATTGGGTCATATGGGCTGTTTGTTCTCGGACAGCTTTGTCTTTGTGGCTTTCTCTTGCTGTCCGTCGAAACTACGCGTTGGGCATTGGAACATCCAAACGCCGATTGGCCTTTTCCATGCATGAGTCGCAGGAGTTTGGCCGGTGCATGTAGAGTAGTGCTGGTGTCTGCAAGGATGATTTGCTGAGCAACAAATGTTGCTGGTTTGCTTGATTGTGGCTCTTGCCTACAAACTCTGACTGCATCGCTTCTGATAACCCTGGTGGCATCAAGTGCCCGTTCCAGCGATCATGCACCCACGCGAGCAATCCCTTCAGTCAATGTAAGGTTCCGCGCCTAAAGCCAAGCGGAAAAGCACCCGACAAGCTCTCTGGAGAACCGCTCGAGTGATTAAATCACGTCATGTCATTCTCAATTGGCAAACCGTCACGGCCTTTTGCTCTCTTGGACCGGACTCTTGCTTCCAGAAAAAAAAAGAAGAAACAAAAGAAAAGGAACAAAACAACGAAAACAAAATGCAGCCAGCCTTGGTCCTGCTGCGCCGTCTCTGTCTGGTGCAATTGAAGAGCGCCTGGTCTTGTGCGGCCCCGGTGCTTGGGAGCCAGGTAGGAATGTGTCAAAGGGACTTCTTCAAAGGCTTGTTTTCATGGAAACATGGGGTGCTATTCACATACTCCGGGTTCATGTCGTATGATTTCACCAACCTATAATACAAGATTCCTTGACAAAGCAAACCCGCATCCATGACATGTTTGGACCGACATTCCTCCAGAAACATGACAAGGCCACATTATAGGCCAGACACATGGCCCTGCCAGATTGCTCCATGGCCAACCTGCCGTGTTCCTCTCAATTCTTCCCGTGCTTGACACGTGGCCAAGAATCAACCAATTGATGGCTCAATATGGCTCATCACTTTGAAATGACTAGAGCTCCAACAACTTGTCTTTATGCAACGGAATGCAACCCATCCCTTATCACCCCAAGCAAGGACCAGCCCCTATTGTCTCACTGGTCACACTCGCGTGCCACATTTGTTTCCCGCGACGATGGCTAAGGACTTCTCACAGCGCTCCCGTGGCGGTCGTCCACCATTGCCAGTCATCTTGGCAGCAAACAGCACTGAACCAGGAGCAGTGCAGCATGTACATATGATAGGATGCCACAGCAACGCCTGCGCTTGATGTGCCAATGAGAACAGGTGGCGTGCATGCAACGAGGATGCCAAGTTGTGCGACAGATTGCGCTGTTGCAAAGGCCCCGCCAGCAGCCACCGCTAAACGTCCTTGGCAGCATGCAGCGAGTGATCCTGCAGCCACACCGCCCATCGTGAATCCAAGCAGGGCCAAGCCAAGGAAGAATGCTGGGATCAACAGGAGGCCAAGCGCTGCTCCAGCCAAAATGAACTGGAGCCAATGGAGGCCACACTGCCAAAATGGCCGGGAGACTATACTCCAGTGAGGCCAGGAAAACGTCGCTGAGCTCAAAACATGATAAATATCACCTGCTTTCTTCTGTATATCAGTGCGTTCATCGCTGGGGCTGTGCAACGGTGAGCTCAAAACATGATAAATATCACCTGCTTTCTTCTGGACATCATGATAAATATCACCTGCTTTCTTCTGTATATCAGTGCGTTCATCGCTGGGGCTGTGCCTCGTTCCGTTGTTCAAGGTCAGAAGAATTGCCCCTGTACTTGGAGAAGCGCGACCGGCAAGGGCGGCTATACACAGCAGGCAAATCAACAGCCGCATTTCAGATCGGTTCGGATTCTCGAGCCACTCTTCAAGGCATTGCGCTTCCTTCTGGTGGTCTAGCTTTCTGATTGTGCGGCCAGATTTCGAGCAGTGCCCCAATATCTGATTGTTGCTGGGCGTTTTCAATGTAGACTGGCAGCATATTTAAGAATCATCCCTAACTCTGCGTCCAGATCCTCCAGTGCCCACAAAGTCGGCGTGGCCTCTTGAGTTTCTCAAAGTCGCAAAAGTGCCATAATCGGGCGTTTCGGTGTCTGAATATGCTAGTTTTTAACGGTCCTGCAATTCTTAATCCGAAAAAAAACCCACCCTCTGGGTCCGCAGTCCGTACACTCCAAAACTATACTTAAATAGGCTATAGGCAAAACTCTGAAGCGATGAACTTAGAGTGACCGTCTTGGACCTATATCACAGACTCTCACTTCCCGTAGCTTTCAAAACATCAAGTTAGCTGCTTGGACCGGACTGTTGCTTCCAGAAAAAAAATAAAAAACAAACATGCAGCCAGCCTTGGTCCTGCTGCGCCGTCTCTGTCTGGTGCAATTGAAGAGCGCCTGGTCTTGTGCGGCCCCAGTGCTTGGGAGCCTGGTAGGAATGTGTCAAAGGGACTTCTTCAAAGGGTTGTTTTCATGGAAACATGTGGGTGCTATTCACATACTCCGGGATAGTTATACATGACTTCACCAGCCTACAAGCTTCAGCAAACCTGCATTCATCACATTGTTGCTCCTGCACACTCCTACCAGAAAACTTGAAAAGCCACATCATAACAGGTCCAGGTCAGCCCACAGGCACACACACACACGGCTCCATGGGCCACCCTGCCGTGTTCCATACCGCTTTCAATCGCGCTCAATGATTGCAACCACACGCAAGCACTCTGAGTTGCCCGTCCTGCTCGGGGTGAGCCAAGTCTGCCAGCCCGTGAAGCAACGCTTTAAGGATAGATGAGAGCTTGGGAGTCGGACAGTTCCTTGCGAAGCAATCAGTTGACATGCCATTGAGCCTGCATGTGCCCCCCCTTCTTGCGGGGCATGTGTCTCTCCTTGCAATGACCTAGGCTTGCTCCTAAATCACGCAAATAATCCTGAATACTATCCAAACACACGTCAAGATGCCCAGCGCAGCTTAAACCAACAAATTTTGCGCAGCAAACACGGTCCCCTGACCTTTGAACCTCGGCCCTTGGGCTCTTGACGTTTGAGACTCGCAACTTTGTGGCACAGGTGGCAAACTCTGGGCCGTGGTGACTGCGCAAAAGTGAACGTCAGTCCGCAGCGAGCCAGCCGCCATTGGCCCACCGAGCAAACAGCCCACCCACCCACCCACCCACCCACCCACCCACCCACGCACCCACCCACCCACCCACCCACCCACCCACCCACCCACCCACCCACCCACCCACCCACCCACCCACCCACCCACCCACCCATCGACACCTTACTAACCAGCCAACCAGGCCCTTTCCCCTTGACGGCTCCAGAAGGCCAAATAGCCAAGCTTCTGAGAGTAGTCGTGAGGTCTGCGTCACCTGCTTGCCCTCCTCCCCTGCCCGCAGTGCAGACTTCATGTGTAGCGAGGAGCTAGAAGCCAGCTGCACACTCCTCGCAAAGAAACGGGGCGAATCTCACAACTGGAAGTCTCCGGTGAGCTGCTATCATCGCCGCGGCACAAATGCAGCGATTGGCGCCAGGAGGTTTTCAGGGCATTCTCCATGGCGCCCGCGGTGACGTCATCCGGCACCAGCTGCCTGCGGAACGATTCACCCAAACCAACTCTTGCGCTGGGGCGGGTGGGGGTGGGGGCTCGGTGGGTGGGGGGGTGGGGGTGGAAAAATGGGTTGGGGTGGGGGGGGATGGGAGGGGTGAGTCTTGCAAGATTTGTTGGACAGCCTGATGTATCTGAGATATTCAGCACCTACAGCCTAGATACTACAGCGGATGTAAGGATTCGCAAAGACCGGCTTGGGACCGGTGCTCCAAATGATTTGGAATTTCGGCTGCAACGTGTGGCCGTGGGAAGAAGGTAACCAGCAGCTGCAACATCCTTGCAGCCAAGGTGTGACTCGCATTCCACTGTCCTCATTCGTTGTGTATCGATTTGCCAGCGTGCCATCACGCGGCCGACGAGGAAGCTCCGGGAAGCCAATGGGCAAAGAAAGAAAGCGGCTCGGAGCAATTGGGCGCTTGATCTAAACCAAGCCGTTCCTCCCCCAATGTTTTATAAACCAAGTCCCCAGCCCTAAACTTCTCGCAATTTGAACCCGCGTGCCTCCTTTCCAGCTGCTCTACGAGAAGCAGCGCTCGCGGCCAGTCGCCTGGGCCATAACCCAGTAGTAAAATGGTCCACCCAGAGCCATGTAAAGACTTGAGGCGGCCGCGCCCTGCTGGGATTGTCCCTTACTGCCCCCCAAGTACACGGGTTTTGATTGCGACTCATCTGAGGTGTTGGGCTCGGCCTTGCTTCAATCAGGACTCGGAGCTTCCCCGACGGAAAGTCGTCTACTACCACAACCCTCTTGCCCTCCATGATTGTGGGAAGGTACAGGAAGCCTCCTCTGGTTTGGATACAGTAAGATCTAACATACACATGTGTCCCGCCTCGCTCCAGGAGAGAACATGAACATGGCAGACTGATTCATCGACTGGTTTGGAGAATCCTCTGCTTCAGAACTGATGGACGTGCTGCGCAGCTCAATCAGGTCTTGTTGCTGTTGGCTCTACCTGAATAGCCCACGTCATGCCCGACGTTGAACGCCAACAGCGATGATACATGCAGCAAGTGAGCTCAGCTTCCATGCTACCGCCGACATTGGATGATCAGACTCCTTGCAGCCGCCGCTTACGTGAACTGAGCTTGCAGGAATCTGCCTAAACTGTGGCGGGCCACTGGCAAAAGCAATCAAGAAGGGAGTGTGAAGCCGGGTGGCAGTCAATTGAAGACGCGAACTGATGCATTGTCAATCATGGGTCATATGATATGTACTGTGTAAGCACTCAACTCCCACCCGGTACTGCTTCAGTTCAGAGCTCCCTTGCGTGCTTTTGGAATACGCTGCCAGGCGGCCGCAACTCAAGCTGCTGTTGAAGGTGGTCAGCTGCGGTTCCAGCCTCGTAGTGGCAGTGTCTTCACTTTCGGCCAACAACTGCACAGTTGACAGGCTTCTGATGCAGCGCCCGTAGCTGCTTGAGTTGAGTGTGTCTTTAATGAAGGGTACCCTGTTTTGGGGGGAATTTGAAGGGGGATCCAACGGAAAACCAACCAGCTCATCTAGAGACACAGCTTTGGACGGCACCTGCTTGCATGTGTCAGTGGCTATCTCCAGCCTTGATACAGCTAGACATCCACTCATTCCTGAAACAACGTCAAACTACTGCAGGATGCATTCACCTGCCCAAACGGAAACAGAACACGACGGCCTAACAAAGGCCAAATATGTTGTCGTGGTTCTACCCACAATACAAAGAATTCAACTTTCTGTCATTTTTGATGTTCCGATGCTTGGCATATAACTAGCGGAATCGATCAGTGTCTGTACCCAATGAAACACATCACGCAACACAAACAAGTTTGCCCGCTGCTCACCCATTCCCAATCCATCTGAGGTGTGAACTAATTCGCACGTCACAATCAAGTCATTCTCAGAAAGTATTTTGCTGAAGCAAGATCGGGTATTTCACTTTTATTTAATTTAGTTCATGACGTAATTTCACTTGCACTAGTGTGAAAATAGATGGCACAAATCCCCGTCAAAGGGCAACAAGGGGATGATGAAACCAAAAGCCATCTATTTTCACCCAACTGCAACTTCTGCGGTGACTTATCCCAGAATCTGATCCGTCCAGGGCCATCGCGTGCCATGCAAAAGCTTCTGCAGCACCTGCAGGCTCAGCGACCAACAGCGAGCGCAAGCAGCCAGCATGGCATTGCACGTCACCACCGATGTGCGAAGCCTGCCGGAAACGCACTTCGGCAAAAACCTGCTGAACCCACTGTTTGCCGAAAGGATCTTGCGAGTGCCTTTTTGGTCCCGGACTTCTGACCCGGATCCAACGGAGGATCTCATGAAAGGGTGGGAAAATGACATGGAGCTTCAACCGCTTCACAGGGCTCCTGAGTTCTTCCCGGAAGCCTCGAGTGGGAACCGAGACAAGCAGCGAGACGATCCAAAGCTTTGACGCCGACAGTGGCAGTGGAAGCTGACCTGAAGCTTTTCCCTATGCAATGGTCGCTCGCATCGTGGGTGAGGCACGTATGACCTAGCCTGATCTGCCGTTACCTCGCCTAGACTCAAGGCCGTATCCTCAAACTACTCACTTGCTGGTGTAAAAGGAAAACCACACCCAAAACCCATTTGCCCCCAAAACACCCCAACACCAAGCGCGAGAAGTTCTGCTGTAGCCAGTCTTGCGAGCGCTTCTCAGTCCAGTCCAGAAACCGAAGCGGCCCGGCGGCCAAAGAGCAATGATCGGTGGGTTTCCTTGTCGTTTCCCATGGTGCACCTGGTCTCAAGGTTTGAGAACCTCAAAGAAGGCTGCCCAATACTTCCAAAGACTAAGTTTTCTGTGGTCGCCCAAGTAAAGTCAGAACCTACTAGTATTATTTGGTCGCCTAAGTAAAGTCAGAACTTACCTATACAAATGAGCAACCCAAGTTTTACAGCATTTGTCAGCGGAGACTTGGCGCACACGCCAGCCCACGGCTTTCAGGCCGCAGGGTTCTTGCTCTTGTTCAGCGCCGACTCTGCGATTTCGCATCCAAAGCCAATGCAAGCGAGCGATGCCCTTTCGGCAAAGAACATTTTGGACAATCCATCCATCTTCTCTATCTCATGTTCATCATCATTGAAGCAATCTCCTGCATGCCTGGCATTTGGAACATAAGCCAATCAGCATTGATGGCTTAGTAGGCCAGATCACAGCGCGCGCATAGGTCAGATAAGGACAGGGGCGGCGTGTCCGAAAAGCTTTGCAATGATGTTCCAAAGCCGCTGAAACAGGCCGCGGAAATGCGGATGTAGGTGGCCAACATCACTGAATCTGAATTGTGGCTTGAGATGGAGTTGGCGGCCACGCGTATATCACACATATTGACTTTAAAGTAAAGAAACAAAGATTGACCCAGTAAAGAACGGGTTTTCAGTGGGTATTCACTAGGTCTTCACGGTATTTTCACGGAGCTTTCACGGTATTTTCACGGGGTTTTCACGGAGTATTCACGGTATTCAGAGAGTTCACGGGGCTCTCATGGTGTTCTCACGGGGTTCTTGCAAGGTTCGCGCGCGGTCTTCACGGAATTCAGGCTTCACGGGGGTTTCACATGCTTCTCACCGGGTTTCACGGGGTTCTCGCTGTGTTTCACAAGTTGTCCTTCCACAGTCCCGCCACAACCACCCTCCACACACCCACTTTGAACCCTTAGTGTAAACATGCGGGTGTGAAACTCATACCCCGAAATTTGGGTATGAAACCCTTGCATGCCCCGATAATGAGGAGCGGTTCCCAAATTTGGGGCAGACTAAAGTGCAGGGTGGAGGGGGAGGGGGACTTAGAAAAAAAAACCTCCTTCAGGGGGGGACAGGGTAGGAGCGGGGGGGGGGGTTTGGTTTCCCTGTGGAGAGGGCGGGCTACTTGGGGGAGGGGGGAAGGGGGACGCCACATCAAAGCCGGTTTTTGGCAGCCTGAGCAATCAGAATGGGCTGCCAGTAAAACATAGGCTTTGAGTAAAATATGGTCGGGGACAAGTTTTACTAGTAAACAAGCTCCGTCCAAAGAAAACTCGGACATGGACGTGCTGGGCTGTCTCTTTTCTGGGGCTACCTTCCATTTCCATTCTTTCCAGGGATCCTTCTTTTCAGGAAACCATCAAGAACCCATGGAAACAGCCGGTTTTTGACAAGAACGATGGTTGAAAAGAATGGAAAAGCCTAGATCTTTGCCATCGCTACCCCTTAAAGAACAATGGTTTAAAAGGAACACCACACCCACAACCCAGTTGCCAAAACACCCCATGGTGCACCTCTCAAGGCCGTCCCTTTGCCAGCGCTCAGATTTCCAGTTGCCTCTCATTGGCCATGGTTGCGTAGACCTGCACCGCCCGCTGCCATAGCGTCTGCGCCGTCACCGTGGCGTTGAGCAGCACCACGTCGGCCTGCCTCCGATCTTCGCTCCGAGGGTTGGCGCAACGCTCATATTTGGAACGAAGCGGGGAGACGGAGGGAGCGGGGATAGGGGGGCTTCCCTTGGCGCCATTTCCCATAGACTTCGCCAATCCCCCGAGTCCGTATCCCTGCGAGGTTTCGCTGACATACGGACCCGGGTTCAGGCGGCACTCGAATCCAACTCCCTAGGTCCAACCGAGAAGTGACACTAGAGAAACAAGAAAAACGGCAACGAACCTGGATGAGGTAGGAGGTGTAAAAGGATCCTTGTGAAGGAGTGTGATCCGATTTCGGGGGCTCCGAGCGCTCACTGGAAGCCGGCAAAGTGTGGCAACAGAAGCTTGTGAAAGGCCAACTCGAGTGAGCACTTTTACGCATGCCGCAATGCGAGTGTGCACAATGTTGACATGATTTACTCGCCAAGCCTGGTTTTACAATGACCGACTTCCTGGCCGTGTGCTGGCATGCAGCTTTCCTCATTTAAACTCCCTCGACCATTGACACACGGCCACGTTTGACTCCGCGATGCCTCATGAATCGCCCGCATGGCCACTCCGAATGCCCGAAATGAACCTTTGCTGCGACCTACAAACACCTCACTGAGAAGAGGAGCCTTAAGGTGTACGACCGTCGCGATACCTGGCGCCTCAAGTGCCGCTTGGGGGGGATTTGCTATAGATGTGGCAAGCTTCACCAATGTTCAAAGACCAATCCTGGTAGCTCCTTGGCTCCCGAACCACTGGTAGCTCCTTGGCTCCCTCACGCAAATTTGGATAGCTCCGAGCCCGGCTCCCTTCCAAGCTGCTAGTCACCAGTCAAGTAGCCTCCATGTTCCACCACATCTGCTAGGTCCTCCAGAGAGCTTAGAATAAGCGTACATGTTTTCTTCAGACCGTCTATTTGGCCATGGGTCAAAATCCCGTACCCCCAGTGAACATCCCCATCCCCGCTAAAATAGACTAAAATGGGTGGTGCACGGGCACTACTGGGGGACCTACTGTGGATGGACGAAATCCTGCACCACATACAGAACCCTGGAATAATTTATTTCCCTGTAAATACCAACAAACAATGGGTTCCCATGTTTCTTAGTTGGTGCGAAATGGTTTTCGCCCATCCACAGTAGTCTGTTTCAATCCCTTTCAGCGCCCGGCCGGCCCGCCTACCGAGCTCGCGGAGTGCCTGCCACAGGCCCAGCGCTCGGCGCCAGAAAATGGCCGCGCTCACCGCAGCGCTCACCGCCGCCACTCCCACCATCTGCACGTGTTTCGGGGAACGGCAAGACAGGCCAGGCAAACAATATATGTTTGCGGTTATGTTCAAATTGCACGTGCTTCAGGGAACGGCAAAGGCCAGGCCAGAAATCTGACTGAGGTCACTTTTGAATAAATGGAAGCAGACATATATATGCAGAAATAGGTTGCGCAGAAATCAGTGCAACAAATCTGGGCCACGTTTCAGCAGGAAACTTGGGATCCGTCAAGGGAAACCTCCTAAAACAGACACACAATCCCTGAGCGGCCCACAAAGGTTCATGAAGCTGAGGAGAAGGCCGATCAGCTTTCTGCAAGTTTCCCGTTCCATTCTGCATTTCTCTCGCGCATTTCCCCGGAACACATTCCTGACTTGGGTGTTCGGCCAAGTGAGTAGGTGGTTGGCCACCTGGTTTGCAACCCGCGACTGAGTGAGGCAACCCAGTGAATTAGAACCGAACGGCGAAGAGCACCACGAATGGCCTTGGGTCAAAATCCCGGTGCACCGATCCCAAAAATGGTACCATTGGTTTTGACCCACACCCACATGGCCTTCAGGCCGGCCATGGTCCGCAAGATTTGGCCTGCGAAGAGCCACTGCTGGCCCTTCTCTGTGGCAGAGCAAGCGCTGTTCAGCAGGGCCTCAGGGTCTCCGCTCCCCGGGAGTGCGGTGACTCCGCTTTTGGTGGGGGAAATGCGGTGTGGATGGATGTACCGACCAAGCCAGAATTTGGTATACAAATAGAGACTTGCACTTGCACTGACAACACTGGTGCAAACGCACAAACGTCTGCATTTTGGAGTGCAAGCATTCTGCACAGTCAAAATTGAAGTATAATTGCCTATAAGCATAGGTGTCCTTTTAGGGGAAATGGATGGCCTGGTAGATGACCAGGTAAGCCAGGAATCGCCATCTATTTTTCTAGCAAAACAACCAAAAAGGACACCTATGTTCCCAAGCCTTTTTTCGGTCTGAGCGCACTCCGCCTCCCCTTGGCTCAACGGGTCCCTCAAAAGGGCACGCCTCATCCAAGCGAAGGTCACAGCTCCGCATGGACTGCACCAGCGCCAGCGCCGGCTGCCACAGCCCCGCCTAAAGCAATCGCGAGGCCCGCTTGGGCGGCCCCTGGTCCAATTTGGGGTGAAGTTGATGGGTCCTTCTTTTTGGGGGGGGTTCCAAACTGGGCTGCCCTCAGATCCCCCGCTAAAAGTTTAACTTCTAGCGGGTTAACTGAAAACTACCACTAAGCACGAAAAGGGCAAAAAACTAAGGGGATGGCTGGGAGCCACCAAGTAAAGAGAAACCACCCGGAGGGTTGTCCTATTTAACGAAACCCCAATTTGCACACTAGCTGCGCGAGCTCGTTTAGAGTGGCTCAAACGCAAGCGTGAACGCTTGCTGCGTCGAACGTCACGGTTCATCCATTGCCGTGCTGTTTAACAGGCGGCCTAGACAACTGCCCGAAGACCCAACATAATTCCCAAACCCCAACAACCATGCCCAAACACACACACAGTCATACGTGTTACTGGCAACGCTTCACTGCGGCTCCACGTATCATAGGTCCTTTGCGAGAACACCCAAGTCACAATCAACACCTGGAATTAAAATGGTCTACCAAATCATGTCAGGAAATCATAGGGCGGCCGCACCCCTTACTACCCTTCATCTGTCGAGGCTTTGATTGTGGCTCGTGCTGCATATTGGTTGCGTTTTGGTGAATGTGCCATGTCAATTGCGTTACAACTGAGGATGACAAACGTTGACCGTTTCTCATACAAGTTAGAACAACTGCCAACAGACATGGCTTCCGTTCGCTAAGGAGCTATATACAGTATATGCATAATTCCTGCTGCATCTTGTTTTTCCTTTTCGAAATGAAGCGGGCCGCCACCTAAATCATGCAAATCCCACTGGCAGCGCTAGCTTCGCGCTAGCTCGGCGCTAGGTTGGGGACGTTAGTTGACATGTCATGTGAGATGCGCACGCATGGCCCTTCTGTCCGGTCGCTCTCAAGGGCTCCAGGCATTCTTTGCTCGCAAAGCGAAAGTGCTGCGCCTGCCATGCTTGCCCTTCCGAAAGCATTGCGCCTGTCACGAAATCTGTACCTGACCTTGCGACACGTGACCCTGCAAAAATATGAAAACATAGGCAGTTTTTCACGCTAGCTCCGCGCTAGCACCGCTCTAGCAGGCAGTTGCCAACTTGAACACTGGGGCACTTGCATGTTTCTAAGCTGTAGTTGTAAGCCACGCTAAGCAAAATTATATGCCCGTAGTACGAAGGTGTAGAACATCGAGATTTCTTGTGTGTTAAAATATCCTATAGCAGCAGCTCTACAAGCTCGGATAGCTCATCCGACAGCAGCTAAGAAAAGGCCCACGCTAGTGCGCCTGTCAGTTATTTGTACGTTTCTTAGTCAAACCTATTGTGCCGCAATGGTTACGTGTTCATATGGCCCGAATGATACGGGCCCCCATGGAATGGTGATTTACGCTACAAAACTAAGAACCAACATATTGACAACCAGCCATGTGCTGGACAAAGAAACAGTTAAAGCAAACACATTCTGGACATAATGATGTGACACCAGTGCATGTGCACCAATTCCCTCAATTAACCCCTGCAAAAACAAGGTTTGAATTGGGACCATCCTCAATGAACTTTTCTGAGTATGTGAGCGTTATAACATACCTCACATGAATTAGGGTCCTATTCCCCTCTACTCTAGTCACCCCCGAAACACATGTCTGACAACATCCCTCCCCTCTTGAAAAAACATACAGCAATGCAAACAGATGCAAACAGTTTAGGAAACAGACTTTGAACATCCCATGAGCAAGTCCAAGCACCCCCAGCCCTGTAGACAAAAACGTCAACAACTCTCAGGGTACTTTCCATTTCCATTCTTTCCAGGGATCCTTCTTTCTAGAAAACCTCCGGAAACCCAGAGAAAACAGCTGGTGATTGAAAAGAACGATGGTTGAAAAGACTGGAAGAGGAATCAGCCCCTAGAAAAGCGAATCCTCCAACCACCCCAAGCCATTTCGACCAAGAGCGTTAAAAACAAAACAAAAAACGGCCCGCCGAAAAAATGTCAACCACCCCCAGGCCAAAACGGCCAAAACCGTCCAAAACGACTCCGCTTCGCCTTTTCACAGGCCGTGACCGCGGTGCTGCAGCAGACCGTGTCCGCCGTGTCCAGCTCCGCCAGCAGCGCCAAGGCCGCCTGCCACTCGGAGGCCCGCGCGCAGGCCTCGGGCGGCACTCGGCGCTCCGGTCCCGCGCGGCCCGGCGGCGGGCGTCCCCTTTTTAGGCCCCTTTTTGGCTGGGTCCTTGGCTCCCTTCCATCCACTAGCTGCTAGTCACTAGTCAAATAACCTGAACTTTACACCACATCTGCTAGGCCCTCCAGAAGAGAGCTTAGAATAAGGGTACCCGATTGTTTTATCTGTTTCGTCTATTTTAGTAGGGGAAGCCTCCCAACCAAAAAAGGGTAGAGAGGCACACTACAGGGGGACCTAGTGGGTGTCTTTCAAAGGGAAGTTTCTTTGAACAGGTTTCTTACCCTAGCCCAAGACCTCAAATAACGAGGTTTTTGGGGGTTCAAGGCCCTCATATTGAGGGTCTTGGGCTCGCAATGTTTGCTTTTTGGGTTCCCTCTAAACGGTCCCTCCGACTTTTCATGGTTCCCTAGCAAAACTAACCGGATCTGCAAAAAGGGGAAGGTGCAGAGGCAAGGAGGCTACAGGTTTTCGGGGCCCAAGAACCCCTTTCCGGCTTGGGGACTTGACTTTTCGGGGCCCCAAAACCGGGGGTCGTGCCCCGATGGTCTTCCACTTTCCAGGTCCATGGCGCTGCGACAAATTCCAGTGGCAGTTCCATGGGATCACAAAAGGGTCGTGCAAGCCAAGGGAAGCCAAGATTGATGTCGAGACGCAGGCTGCTGAAGACACAGCTTCACAAGGATCGCTCACGGTCAATATTGGTCGCGTGTCAACAATCCGCTCAAACTGTGTCACTATGTTTCAGGTCTCACGTTTGCTAGCAGTCGTGCGCGCACGCTGCAACCTCAAAAGGACTCCGCAATCTCTTGCTGCTGATCGACCGAGGCGCGTACATGGCAGCGCTGTACACGATGATGTTGCTGAGGCGGCAGTTGTGCCTTGAGGCAGCTGTGGCGCAAAATGCACAAGCCAGTCAACGGCCAGCACACACACACACACATGCAGCGCAATAGATGGGGACAACCTCTTGCCCTTCTTCAGCCTGCTTATAAGGACTCTTTCCGTGAGTCAACAAGCTTATGATCATGCAACTTGAACCATACGAAACGGCGCAAATGTGTTTCAACAGGGCATTCCTCTGCCACACAGAGCTTCTAGCTGAAGCGAAGTATGCCGAATAGAGCAGCTGCTCCCGGAAAGGTCGCCACGTGGGTATGGCTCAAAATTAAACCACCAGGAATCGGACCACAGGTTTTAGTCATTGTTTCCATTTACCAGGGTGCCATTTTGGGTGTGGGTGTGGGTCAAAATTAAGCCACCAGGAATCGGACCACAGGTTTTAGTCATTGTTTCCATTTACCAGGGTGCCATTTTGGGGTGTGGGCGTGGGTCAAAATTAAGCCACCAGGAATCGGACCACAGGTTTTAGTCATTGTCTCCATTTATCGGGTTTTATTTCGGCACCTATTGACCCATAGCCACGCGAGGCACATCTGCTTCAAGAGCTGCACCGGCTGCCTCCATCCGGCCAAAGCGCGCGTGGCAGCGCCGGCGATCTGAGCGAAGGGCTTCGAGCGACCAGCTCAAGCCACCGACATGCGGAGTGGCATACGAAAACCAAATCCCAAATGCTTTGCCATGTGTCTTTGGCCCTCAAACGTGTCCTTTGATAGGTGGAACACTGGAAAAACGCCACGGTCTGAGGTGCACTGGTCCTCTTCATGGAGCCGTTTCAACGAGACCTGATCTGCCCTGTCCTGCCTGCACGTCCAATTGGAGACTCTGCAGCGAGCAACGGCTAAAGTGCTGCATCGCCTGACGTCGACATCCCCGTTCTTCGTGGGGCACAGTCACACCAACCCAAAATGAGGGGATTGCTGGACGGCTCTTCCAAACCAAGACTGTGGCAAACACAATTCATGGCGTGATCGGTGCGTGCTGTGATGGAGGCAGAAAAAAAGGCAGTCGTTTGATCTTCGCTTTGTTAGAGGCGTCTTCTGGGCTCGGAAAATAGTCCCACGAGCAACTTTAGTAGATGTGGCGTTAGATGGACAACACTCTGAAACAGTTGTGCTGGTTGCCTTTGCATTCTTGTCAACCATGTCACTATCAAAATTAGTGAATATGGTTCTATATATATATATGTTCCTGTTGTCTCTAGCCACACTCCAATATACCTGCAAACGCCTTCCGGCCAAAATTTCAGCCGCGGACTCAAAAAGGCGCCTTTTTGCGTACTCAAAAAGGCACCTTTTTGCGTCCTCCGGCAGAAATTGGGATTTCCAAAAAAAGCTGCGGCGTTTTGTTTTTTTTGACGGCGTTTCTTTCTAAGCGCATTGCTGCCACAATCGTTGCTCATTTTCTGCTTGGCCCGCGTATGTACGTAAAATAATGTGGCAAGCAGTGATCGCGCAAGTTGCTCCTTGCCTCTTTCTGCCCTGCCCTACAGGCAGCACAGCCTGCCACATTACCTGCTTGTGCCTGCAGCCACACTGGCATCCGGGTATGATGCCAGGCCGGCGGTGCCAGAGCTCGTCTTGCGGCAGCAGGACTTTGCACCGTGTGGGGCTGCGCCTTGTCCAGGTGGCTGAAATCGTTGCTGTGCGTCCATGCTCATGGCATCCAGCGGTCGAAGCAGCAAAAAGTCACAGAAAGTCCCATCGTCGAGTGCATGCCACTGTTTTTCTCGCCAACGCGCACGTGGGAGCAACGAGCAGTTCGAGTTTGTGACATGCTTTGCCAAGCTCTGAGGCTATTTTTCTGAACGGCCGGCGTTTTTCTCAACTGCCGGCGTGTTTTCGTTCTTGCGACGAAATGTTCTGCCTCAATACAAAACAGATAAAAATTTGGCCGGACAGAGCTTCCTGGTATTTAATATACCTTTCAGGGCGCAAAGGACAAGGCAACAAATGTCCACGGGCTCGACAATTCTTCAATTGGCACTTCACATGTGCAACAAAACATATGCTCACCATGGCCCATTCTTTCTAGCTCACCCTTGGGGCAGCCCGCCCAATTGGGTAAACAAGGGCTAGGGTAACCGCCAAGATGGGTTGGGCGGTGTACCTTTCTAATGACAAGCCGTCCAAACAGTACGTTCCCATCCACGAACATGATCCACCTGACTCGGAAGTCATGAAAAACAGAAATGGTCACTAGACTTCCTCTGCAAAAGTTGGAGTTTACAAAAGTTGGAGTTTACTGGTGGGGTCCAACGTAACATGGCTATGGGCAAAAAATAGGTACCCAAAATGGCACCCTGGGAAATGGAGACAATGACTAAAACCTGTGGTCCATTTCCTGGTGGTTTCATTTTGACCCACACCCACATTGCCACTTTTGAAGTTCCGACAAACGGAAATTGAGGTGCCTCTTGCCAGCGCGTGGCTCGTTGGCACGCGGTGATGGCGCAACACTGGGCCACCCGCCTCGCCTAAGAAATGCGAGAGGCCTCTACTGTGAACACACAGAACACCTGGGTTTGTTGTCTTTTCTTTGAGGGGACCCCCTCAAAAAGGGTGTCTTTTTTTGAGGGGACTCGGTCCCCCCTCAAAAAACAAGACCCACATGTTAGTTGGAGACCCTTGGCGGACATGGGGATGTCCGCCATGCTTGAGGGTGTATTCAAATTGATGGCCATATTATGTAAAACTTTGACCTGCCTCCATCTTCAACAGCAAGCATGGCTTTGCATCGTTGTTCTGGCTGCTTAGAAGGTTGGAATGAATCACCCAGTTGGGCCAGCATAACGCCATGATGCTAAATGGCATTGTCTGCAGATCTGGACTCCGGTTCGACGCGTGCAATAAAACTTCTATGAGACACGTCCACATATGCAACTTGGCGCTCATTGCATATCTCCGCACAACTAATGCCGTCACCCCTAAGCCTTGTGAGCACCCCACTGCCTATCCAACGCTTTGGAGAGGGATGTCGCAATGTCTCAGTGAACTCCTGGTGGCTTGTAAGAATCACAAATGCAACTATTGTGGCTAAGCTAAAAGAACACCTGCGTATCCGCAGTGCAGCTTCATCTTTAATGAGGCTGCTCAAGAAGACTCAAATCCAATGGCAACTACGAGCACATGAGCCAGAAGGCTGCAGGCCCTGCAGGCTCTGAGTAGACATGCCAATCAGTCTGCATGTGTTGAATCACTCAAGTTGATACCCACAATCAGAGTTTCATGCCTTAAAAAAGCCACAGGGCACGCTCATACTAAACGAAGCCTCAATCCCGGCTGGTTACACAACTCGCGCACGCCCAGCCTTCGGGCTCAGCTCCCTGCAAGTGGGCAGCCTTGGATCAGGCTCAGTCGATTCGCACAACTGGGCCTTCACCCGGCTTGCCCGGGTGGAGGATGCGCCCCCGTCCTGAGATACAGCTGTCACAAGGTGTAAGCCTTTCAGTGAGTACTTCGCAATGAAGACCTGGTAAAATGTGGGTCAATGGTAAACCGTGGAATGGAAAGGGAATGCCCACATTAGGTCAAATCCAGACATAACAAGGCACTGGCCTTGCCCTTGCCGCTTGCCAGCCGAGCAACAGCTGACTTGCAGCCTGGCACATCTGACATCGGGGAGCATTTTAACACCCGGGGGTCCCTCGGCCTGTCTTGAGAATCCGCAGTGCGCTGTCTTTGTTTGCAAACGACCAACGACACGCGTTTTAAGCGTTTCGCGAACAAGAATGGAAACTCGGCGAATTCATAGGCCGCCCTTTAGCCTCCTTCTTTGGCGGGGCCCAGCCTAACGAATCCTCATGGTTTCTGACTAGCTGGTGCGGTAGGCAGGGAATGAGAAATGGAATGACCGCTGTGAATCATGCCTGGTGGTTTCCTCACGTGGACCAAAGCCTGGGTTCATTCCCACATTCCCTGAGCATGAGCAAGCTGATGAATCATGCCTGAGATCTAAAACCCAAACCTACAAGAGCCAAGGAAAAAAAGGCTTGGAGAAAGAATGGGTGATCGATCTCTAGAGGTCCAGACCTGACCAGCCAGCTGGCTATCATGGGCTCCGGCGCCTTCCAGCGAGCAGCCCGGGAGCAGCTGCTGAGTGCACAGCACAGCTGCTGCGGGAGGCTGCGCGCCTCGGAGAGAAAGCCAGAGACGTCACGCAAACCCAGAGGCTGCTTTAGCTCGGTTGCTGTCTGCTCCCCTGCTAAAAGTTTCACTTTCAGTGATTTGATAGAAAAACCGTTAGTTGGCAAAAAGTTGAAGTCCTAACATCCAAGCAAAATGCAACAAAGTTAAATCAACTCAACGGCATGGTGGATTCAGTGTAAATGACAAAGATTAATTTGGAACTGACGCGTGGGACTTGTACTCTCAAGGCAAGCAAGGTGAGTTTGGATTGCAGCGTTGTCTTGACTCTGGGCAAGACTGTCGTGCTCGAAAAGGACTGCCTCAAGTCAGTACGGTCACCGCATTAGCTACTTCGTTGCCAGGCAAGAGCTGCTTTACTCGGCAAGCCATGCGTAAGTTGACATCAATTGTTGCAAACAAACTGTGTAAGCACAGTTCAAACAAACATACTGTAGGCACAACTCAGAGTATAAACAAACATTGGGCAATCCAATTATCAAGCCATGCTCCGTACTAGAAGCAAATCACATCATATTAAACTGCCTTCCTGTTGGCATGCTCTGCGCTGTCGTGCTCGTGTAAAACCTGGATGCCATGTCGTGACAGGAGACATCAGATTGACCCACCAACTGCAAGCAACCCAGACGTTCGCTGCACTTGCCAGTCACCTGCCAACTGATCATGAACTGCATGTTCTCAGTTTGCCTCGAGTGCGCAAGAACTGAATATCCGAGTGAGTGAGAGTATCCATTGCTTGCTAGGCTTGTTTCTGAATCCTGATGTGCACTCCCAAAACAGGTCCTTCTGGCCACCATCGCAAGAGGTGTCGCTGCTTAACTTGGCATCCGCCAAGTGTTGGGTGCTGTTGACTCCCCTGCAAAAAGCTTAGCTTTTTGGGGGCTTAGTGGAAAACACCTGTATTTCAACCAAGTTAAAGTCTAAAGATCCAACCCAAAAGCAGTCAAGAAGTTCTCTGGGGGACTTACTGCCTCCGGATGCCAGCTCTGCCAGCGAGTGTCTTTGATGCAAATTCCGCCCCGCCTGCAGAGTCTGCAAGGCGGCTTGCCACTCAGCCGCCATCACACGCGCAACGCAGGCTCCACAATGACAACTGGTGGAAGCAAATCCATGGGCCGGGTCTGGAAGGTATAGGACGCGTTGCCTTACGCGTGTTCACACGGAATGGCATCTCTGTAAAATCTGCAAGTGACCCGGCGGTCAAAGGACAATATATGTATAGCATTCTACGCCAGGTTTCAAAACCATAGGCAAACAAATGAACTGATGAAGCGAACAGGAGGCAAAGTACCGGCTACCAAAACCCCTCAAAGTTTATGTTCAGGCAAAAATGGGCTCAATGCTTCTACATGTGACATACGCTATGTACTTGCTCTGGCGGTGAAAAGCTTCCTGCATCTAGGGAATCACACATTGGATGGATATGGCCACCCAAACTGCTGACACGGCAGTCGCGCCACACAAATGCTTCTTTTTGCTCGCCGCCAAGCTCTTTCACTCAGCAGTGTGTTCCTAGGCGCAGCAAGGAAAGCATCTTCTGGCGATACCCGGCATATGCCTATCCCCTTGTCAAGCATGGTCCCCGGGCAGCTCCGAAATTCCCTTCGAAGCGTGAGAGTCTTGACTGCTACAAGTGGGCGGTTTGGTTGACACGCTAAGTGAACCTGAGTCACAAAAAACAAATGGTATTGAATTGGTCTTCTCGGACACATGCAAATTATACAGGCGGCTGCACCCATTTGTGGCTGGGACTATCCCTGACTATCCTTCATCTACCCGGGTTCTTGTGGCACATCTGGACTTCGAGAAACAAATGACCATGGGTCAGAATCCAAATCGTACCCCCAGTGAACATCCGATTCAATCCCAACTAAAAATAGACCAAAATGGGTGGTGCACCTACCCCAAAATGGTACCATTGGTTTTTGACCCATAGCCAAATCTGTCAGGTGAGCGTGGTCATGCCGAGAAAAGGTGCGGTTCATAATTACAGACAGTCTGACTCCGCCAGCATAACTGCCTTTACAATGGCGTTAGGATACGCCTCATTCACCTCGAACCCAGCACAAATCAAGAAGAACAAGCCATGTGCAGTGGGATACGGCACAGGGCATGCACGTCTATGCTGGGATACATCTCCGAAAGGCAAGAAATCCGGCTTTGCAAGATGTGCCCTGCAGGAAGAATTGGGCTCAAGCACCTCCAAGCTGTCCCAGAACATTTCCCAAGACATATGAATGGCGGTTGTTGAATACTTGAGTTCTAGCTTACCGCTCGAAAATGCCCCTCTAATATTGCCATGCCAAGCTTGATTTGTGCTTGCCTCGTTCAACCCTTGCGCCCCGGCTGCTGAATAACTTTATTGTCAAGGATAAGGGATCCTGAAAACATTCATTGTCAAATGGCGCATAACTCGCCGCCCACTCCAAACTACAGCCCTTACATGTGGATCGAGAGGCATCATGTAGCTTGCTTGGAGCTCAGCCAGCGGCTGGCATCAAGACTTCTCAGGATGGGTGTGTGGCGAATATTTGTCCAGTCACAAACTCAACCGGTGTACATTGCAAATCGCTCTTCAATAATTGAATGACACTCCTGTCAAATCCTGTCAAAGGGGGAGGCATTGACGCCACGTTTTGGTTGTGCACTGCAACACTTGGTATCCCGGTGTTAAGTTAGATTGGCGGGCTATGGTGGGCTCACACTTCAGTCTCACCTGGGAATCAGCATTGAACTGTTCGCAGGAGACCTGGTCTGCGGTGGATCTAAATTGCCCCGATCTTTGGAAACCGCTCGATTTGTTGGCTTTTGGTTCGGGGAGACCTATTGTGCAAGGGGTGTGGGAGGCTAGTTCGGAAGCATGGACTCAATAGATGACTGGCGAATAATGGGATCCTAGCCTAGGTCCTTCAGAGAGGTTGGAACAAGGGTACCAACTTTTCCCCGTGGTCTATTTTAGTAGGGGAACCCTCCCCCAAAAAGGGGAGAGAAGGGCACTGGAAGGCCTAGTAGCTAAAGCCAACAAACAGAAGCGGAGTTCCTCACGAGTTGAGGCAACGGCCTCGGCCAGGGCGTTCTTTGCCGCCGCCTTGATGAACCGGTCGCCATCCTTCACAGCCACAAGGGCGAAGGGAAGGCTTCGCTCACTCGCACGCTAGCCTCACAATGTGTCGCACGAGACAGAAAGGTGCCACACTTCAGAAGTCATGCTAAAGTCAGTGCTGAGATTTTGAAATAGAAACACACACCCCAATTGTTCAGCGTCACAAGTTTGAGCGCTGCAGCAAATCGCAACCAACGGTAACAGAAGTCTTGTGATTGCCAGTAGGAAGCCATCTTATTTCATTTGCACGCCAATGTGCAATCATGATTTGTCCATGCGCGAGTGAGTCGCAACCTTTGGACATGCTGGCAACCTTTGACATGCTGGCAACTATTCAAGGTTACAACCTCACGTATATGTCCATCAAAGATCCAACCCACCTGGTATGCGGCATGTTGCTTGGGCCAAGTACCAAAACGAAAACCGCTTTCAAATTGGCCAAGGGTCAAGGGCAACTGCCAAACAGGCCAATGTTTGCCTGTTTGTGTGTGTGTGTGTGCTTTGAGGGTACCCTTTTTGGTTTTGGAGGGAAGTTCCAAACGGAAGATCACCACCTTGCAGGCTCCGCGTTGATTTTTAACGCACGCCCAACAGCGGGTTTGCATGGAGACTCGGTCCACTGGTTGATTAATATGGGGTCAACATGATTAATAATTCCAAAACACAAGGGAACAATATTGGCTCGGCTTGTTTTAGTTCCTCACCGGAAATGTTCTACCCATCCTGATTAGAGTTAGGCCCAGTTGTAGAATGTATATCTTATTGTTTGCTTCACATGGAGTCACTGCTAAAATGTAAAACGCATCCTAAGTCTACCCCAGCTATGAGGTTGCTACTGTGGATGGTTGCAAGATCCATTTCGCGCGACAAAATGAAACCATGGTTGAAACTGGGGAATCATCACACACCCGGCCATTGGCATTGAGACTCGGCCGCTTCCTTTTTCGGCGCCTCGCTCAGCAGGACCAGCGCTTCCATGGCCTTCCCGTGGGCCTTGTGGCGACGCGCGGCGTCCACCAGGGCGCGGCGCACGAAGCCTGGGCCGGTCCACGAGGTCCACGAGGTCCACGAGGTCCACGAGGTCCACGGGTGCGAGGGGACCCAGAGCCACAGATGCCCAGTGGATTTCCATGGGCAAAAAGTGACACCCTGTTATTGTTGGTGGAGCTTCAAAGGGGAACCCTTACCCCCAAAAAAAGGAGGAACGAGGGCACCACTGGGCAACAGAGAGCCCATGCCAGAGTTCTCGTTTCACATATGGACCCAAAACCATCAGAAGGAGGGGATATAGTGCCACAGCGGATCTGCAACAGCAAAAAAGGACATCTCCACTCAAGCTGTGATTTTTACATTCCATCCCTCCTTGGGACACTCGCTTTCGATTCCCTTTCGTGCACAGCTCTGGGCCAAGCCTGAGCCAACCAACACCAAGTTTCTCCGCCGCTAATGTTGGCTCAGAGAGCTTTTTGCGGAGCGAAAGTGAAAGCATGAAGGCCGGTGAATGACGTCATCACGATGTTTAAATCTAATATATAAAGTGACGAATCTGCCCTCCTTGTATTTTTAAACAGGATTATCGTCACAGCCACCAGCCCAAACATGAAGGCTCCACGTGCATAGCAACCATCATAGAGCGCATGCTCTGGACCAGTTGATCCACTGCCTAGTCAAATGGTACGTCAAATGAAACCGCTTCGATGCCAGACACCCAAAGAAGACACATCAAGACACAGGCAGCCAGCAATGCATGGCTTCCTGGGTTCCCCGCCCAAGACTTGCCGGGCTCCATACATTCAAACTTCTTGACTTTGCGCTTCCCTTCTTTGAATGCTTGTTGGCGCTATCTGGGCAAAAGACGATATATTTGCATCAAATGGCTATGAGTCAAAACCCCGTCCCCCCAGTGAACATCCCAATCCCCACTAAAATAGGTTCAAAAATGGGTGGTGCACCTACCCCAAGATGGGATCCCATTGGTTTTGACCCATTTCATCAAATCGGAAATCAGGACTCCCACGTGGAGGGCCCTCGATGGTCGCGTCGAACTCGGTGCGCTCGTCCCGGGTGTCCATCCGCCCACCCCGGCGCCAAGCGGCGATCGCCCTCCGCCGCCGCGGCCGTAGCGAGCGCGTCCAGGGCCGCGGGCTCCGGACAGGCTGCGGCCTTCGCGAGCCAGGGGGCTTTCTCAAAAATGGCACGCGCCCTTTTGGATCTTTTGGATGGTTCTTAAAGCAAACCACAAGGAAACACTTGCCATCTTGAGTGGCAAACCACAAGGAAAAGGGACAAGCCCCTGAAAGAATGGGCTTTTTGGAACCAGGAGCCGCTCACTGGTTCCTTGAAAAAATGGCTTTTTGGATGGTGTTTCAAGGGAAACCACAAGGAACCATGTGCAGTTGCCATTTTAGGAAACGGACATCTAAATTGAGTTGCCATCTTTCGATCTTTTGGATGGTTGTTAAAGGAACACCACCAGAAAAAACTTGCCATTTTTGGAAACGGACACAAAGAACTAAAGTGGAACCCGGATTCATGAACCTGGTGGATTTGTTAGGAGAGAGGATGAATGCCATAACCCAGGAATCAACCAGAAAGTTAAGGCCATTTTCATGGGTCCATGTTGAACACGGGAGGTTGTCAAAAAGCATGGACCCCTTGTTGGAGTTCCCGAAAAACGGTGGAACAAAATGGGTGCGTGTTTTCATGAGACCCCCCAAAGTGGTCTTTGTCCTTTTGGTTTGACTTTGAACCACACCCAAGAAGGGTACCCTCAAGAACACAAACATACCCAAATGATCAAAGAGGCCTTGAGGCCCGATGGGCCTTCGGGCCTCAGCCCCGTGTCCTTTTGGTTTGCCTTTGAACCACACAGACACAAGAGTTGTAAACATACCCAAGTGGCCAGAGCGGGATTGCTCTTGAGACCCGATGGGCCGCCAAAGACGAGCCTCTAAGAGTCTGCAGGCTTCGGTGCGCACCACGCGGTGCTCCTTGCTGTCCAGCAGCGCCTGTCACAGCAAAAAGCCCTGAACCATTCAGCAAATTTATGAGGGGGGGTTCTCAAAAAGGGACGGTCCATTTCCGAAAGCAGTTGGTGTACGCTTGGTGTCCCTTTAACACCAACCAAAAGGGGCCACCATGTTGAGAACACTCACATCTCTGGGTTGGTCTTTTGATGTCCACAAGGCTAAACAGGTTGCTGGTGAGTGGGGAAAAGTCATTGTCCCCGGTATATAGTAGCCTCAGTGCTCTTGGACATGAACAGCAAAGTGATGGTTAGCTAGCCATAGCAGCGGCTGTGGCAAATACTTGTAACTCGCCAGAGCTGTCTCAAAAAGTGGATGTTGCAGGCATGCAATCCTAAGAGGCTGCCTAATCGTCTTGGGCTAAAGCCTGCCTAAGTTGCAAGGCCGCCAAGGGCAATGCAAGGCTGCACATACCTTTAATTTCACAGATGTGCCCAGAAGCTCGGGTCTGTGAGAATCAGGCCACAAGCTAGTCCGCAAAGTGCTCATCGTCACTGATGTCCCGATTCACCTCTTCATGGCTCAGGATGTCATGTTTCCAGGGGTTGATTCCCCATGCTTTTTCACAAACCGGCTGTTTCCCCTGGGTTTTTGATGGTTTCCTGAAAAGAATGATCCCCGGAAAGAATGGGGAAGGTATCCCTAGAATGTTGGCTTCACTGCTGGACATCCACAAAATATGTTGACTCAATGACATCCATTCGCCTCCCGGGAAAAATCATCCGTTTTACTTCCTTCGAACTTTCCCGGCCTGGCAGCATGGCTCATTTCAAGCAAGGCACTCTAACCGTTGCCAGCTGGGTGGAATCTTACTCCAGGGACAATCGAGTCGTTCCTACTCAATTGGGTATGGGTCAACATTCATACAACAGGGGACCGCAAGTTTTAGTCCATATTTCCATTTACCAGGGTTCCATTTTGGGTACCTATTTTTGACCCACAGCCAATTCAGGTCTTGTGCTGTCCAACTTTCCAACCTGCCAATGGTTCAAGCCGCTCAGCCTTAGGAGCAGCTCGATAGAATGGAGCGCTCAAAACCCAGCGACTCTTGCAGAAAACACGAAGACGCCAAAAGTCAATGATTTGTCTGACATCTTGCTGAGCTTGCGCACTTGGAGCAACATATCGCAAGTTTGTAAACACAAGCTGGACGCAACATTGCACAGACTTACCACAAAAAAGCCGAACCTGAGATGTGTGGCTTTTGGAAAACGCGCCGACTAGCGCAAGGCCCGCTGAACCACATTGGCTAACACAATCTGTTTGTGTATTTTGTTTCTTTTCAATCTAAGGGAAACTGAAGGGAAGCCACCCATTTTGAGGCGCTCCTCCAATTGTGAGATGCCAAAGGAAAGTCCCCGCCTCTGCCGCCCTCCGCGCTGCCAGGCGCAAGGGCGCCACACGGTACAGCACACTCAGCCAGCGCCTGCGCTCGAGCCACACGTGCGGCTGGTGACGGCAGGTGACTTGTGTGCGAACGCCGTCGCATCCTGGTGATACACTCCAAATGAAGATGGAGCCCACAAGGGGCAGCCAAAAGGAGATGCCGATGCCTCCATATGGCTGCTCAAAAGATCTACCCAGAATGGTACCTTGGCAAATGGAACCAAGATGAACCAAGACTAGCACCTACGAAACCCTTGATTTGAACTGTTGAGCCCAAGCAATATACATGTATATATATATATATATATATAAACAGCAGGGTTGCTTTGAGCTTCCTTCATGAGCAGTCTGCTCCTGCGGCTCTGCGCGCTGCTTCCCAACTCGAAGGCCGCCAGCAGGAGCTGCGCCAGCCTATCGATGGGACTCCGCGCAGTTGAAGATGTTTGCATATGATTGGTTTGAACGTCCGGAAGATTCGACGCATGCGAAATGTGCCAAACAAAATCATGAACATCTGAAAAGGAGGCTGGCAGTCAATCAAATAATGAAGTAGCATTGCGGGAAGAAAAAAAAATATGGACGCCCAATAAATCACATGGTGCTGGAACTGGTGAGATCGATCATGCGACCCACCTGGCTGAACTATTTGTTGCCTAGCGTGGAGCCAAGTTTCGCTTTTGAGGAACAACTAATTAAAAGCTTTAACAGCACTCTTGATCCAGGCTAACCTTGCCTTGGCCCATCATTGCCCTGGAGTTGCTCTTAGATACAAGAGGTATGCCGAGAATGCAAGCGAGGAAAGTTTCAGCAAACAGAATGCAACCACGAGTTGCGCTCATTGGGCAAGGCCTTGAACTAAGTGGTGCATCTAAGGATTGGGAGTGTGGCTGGTTCAAACGAGTGACTTCAACATCATGTATGGCCTACTCATGATGAAGGCATGCAATACCTGCCAACACGTGAAGGCATGTGGAGGCGTTCGAAAATCCCAACCAGGGCTTTCTTATCTAACCGCCAGGCAGACATCAATGCAAGTGGAATGGAACATGGGGTGTGCACGTCTAGGATCATTTCTAGCAAAATAACGAGAAACAAAATCGTAAACCACGCCCTTCCACCGCCCTTTTGCGAACCTCTCTTGAGCCGGGCTTGGTTTGACAGGGTGGAGGCATGTTTCCAGGAGCTAGTTCTTTTTGGTTTGTGTTTCCGGGCTTGGCCACGCTCGTGTGTGGCTTGTTTTTGTAGTCAGTCCGGTGGACGCATGGCGATGTTTTTTACAGATGGAGTGGGAGGAGAACTAGCTTTGGCCAGTTGAACAAGTATGTTTGTGTCGCGGGCAGACTGCAGAACATATCAAAGTTACAGGGTTGAGGTCCCTTTTGATCCGGGGCTTGCTAGCATGAGGGTTGTTGGAATTGAAAGGTCGTCGGAGATAAGCAAACAGAACACGTTCTGCCTCGGAATGCTGTTTTCTGTAAGTAGCGTTTTTGAGACACGCTGAGAACTATGTGCGTTGGGCAAGTTGCCAAAGCGTGACTCCGAAAGCGAGCAATGATGGGGACCATTATGATTTGAAGCGTCTGCCACGTGAGTGTAGGTGGCACGGCTGCGCCCTTTAGCCGCGAGACTTGCACAAGGCTTGTCTTCGGGTCTCCTTCCAGCTCGCCTTCCGGCGGCCTAGCACTTTGGCTCTGAAGCCTATTGGCAAAAGGGGAGTCAGACTCTCGAGAGCTCTTTGTTCTTGTGGAGGAAAGCACTGAGCTGCAGGGATGCCGGCAGGCAGTTGGACAAACAGCTCACACACTTATTCATGAAGCCGACTTTTTGTTGTGCGTATGATGCGTACGTGGCAAAAAGGTCGCACGCTTGTCAACTCTGTAGTTAACTAGGTCCTCTAGTAGAGAGGTTAGAATAAGGGTACCCTTTTTTCTGTAGTCTATTTTAGTAGGGGAACCCTCGCCCAAAAAAAGGGTAAAAGGGCACTGCTGGGGGACCTAGTTAAATGTGTTGAACAAAGTTCCTTCCGCTCATCTCCATCACTTCTCCGGGCACCTCCCGCTCAGCTGTGCACATGCTGGAAAACTTTCTCGCAAACAAGTTGGGAGACTCAGACTCACAAAGACCTGGCTGTGGGTCAAAAATGGGTTCCCAAAATGGAACCCTGGTAAATGGAACCAACGGCTAAAACCTGCGGTCCATTTCCTGGTGGTATAATTTTGACCCACACCCTGGAAACTCCGGCGACTCCCAGACATGTCTATCCGATAGCCTGTCAATCTCTCTGTTGCCTGCCTCTCCCGCGCAGTTGATCTCAAGTCCTGAACTGAACAGCGGCAAGCACCGGGAAACACATGATACGAGCATGCAGCAAAGTGAACCAGGGCAAAAACAAATAGAAAAGCACACGGACATGCAAAAGAAAGGACAAAGAAGGGCGGGAGAGCATGAAAGCAAGCAAAGCGGCGGAAGAAAGCACATAGACAACAAATGAGTAGGACAATGAGAGATGAGGGAAGGGAAGGAAAAGGAAACGGAACACGCAAGGCATGTAGATGCCGATCCCAATGCTCCCTGGAATGTCCTTCCAATGATCACTCAGAAGCAGTTTAGTCAACACTAGGGAGGACACTGCGGCCATCTGATCGATAACGTCGACCATTCCACAAAGATGTCAAAACTCTGATATACACCGTTCGCTCCAAAACCACAGCTGTCTTGCACCATGTTGCCGCCCGAAACATCGTCCTCACCAGTTTTGCCCAACAGCTGTTCCTCTCCCCAAACCTCCGGCAAGCCATCACTGCCCATCTGTTTTTACCCCCAGCTTTGGACATGGGAACTATCAGTCGCTGGAGGGTGCTGGACATGGTTTCCTGCTGGTTCTCTGTAAACTACAATTAACCATGTATACATGTATATATATATATACATGGGCTGTAGAATAAATGCCCATGTAATAGAATCAATCGTGATTAACCGATTAGCCACACAATAACAACATAATATATATCTATATATATATATATATTATGGCCATGGGTCAAAATCCCGTACCCCCATTGAACATCCCAAACCCCATAAAATAGGTACTAAAATGGGTGGTGAATTCACCTGCCCCAAAATGGTACCATTGGTTTTGATCCACAGCCATATGTCACCACCCTTCATTTGTTTCCCTGTAAACAGCACCCAACGACGTGGGACAGCTCCTGGCTGCAAGATCTCGCCGAGCAAAGGCACGGCAAATCCAGGAAGCTCAGCGGCGCATCAAGCTCCTGCCATTTTGGGGGAAGCTATCATGATTAGAGTTAGGCCCAGATAGAGAATGTATATCCGCCGACATTGCGGAGGCGTGTCGGATACCTAGAGGATAAAGGATAACCCAAACAGCACATGATTAGAGTTAGACCCAGTCATAGAATGTATATGTTATTGTTTGCTTCACATGGAGTCAGTGGTAAGATGTAAAATGTATCCTAAGTCTACCCCAGCTATGAGGTCGCTACTGTGGATGGTTGCGAAATCCATTTCGCACGCCGAAATGAAACCATGGTTGAAACCACCGTTTGTTGGTATTTACAGGGGAATCATCAGAAATCAGGGTGTTGTCGGTGGTGCAGGATTTCGTCCATCCGCGGTATGGCTCTCTTGTTGGGTGCTTCGTGTTTTTTTCTAGTCCACGCAAGGGTGTTCCTTATCTTGGAACTCCTTCTGTTGGAAGTGCCCTGGGCAACCAACGTCATGCGACCGTACACGCCATTAGGCAAAGGTGCCTTCTAGATGGTACGGTCCAGCTTTGCATTCAACAAGTCCAATGCGCAGCTTAGTGTGGTTCGTGACACACACACACACACAATCTGAGTTTTGTTGGCCCCATATTGCCCCCACTTATTCGGTGAATTACACAACCATCCATCACAACATGTACTGCAAAAAATGGTCTCCATTTCACAATCTCCAAGTCTGCAACTGTCTGCCACATCACTTGCCCTAAGCTTACATATTTTTCCCCGGGCTGTGAACACAATCCCAGGCTCCAATCAGGTCCACTCCGGCGGGCCTGTGGTGAGAAGCTCGTGAGGCAGCCACCCGGTAGCAAAGGATTTGACTCGACTGTAGGGTGGAACGGAAAACGACCAAATCAGAACGAGAGGCTAGCGCTCCTGTGCATGAGCTTTCAAAATTCTAGCGGTCACTGCGGGGCCGCCCTCAGCTTCGCTCCGTGGCCTCCATGCATCTTCACATCATTCTCCAGCGTGCCACTTGCCCTCTGCCCGTCCATGGAGCGTCTCTCGCAGGCCGCGCCGTGGGCCTTGCCCGCGGCACAGGAATGGCAGCAATGCGTCTTGTGCCAGGTAGCTTGGAACTCACATCCCGAGGTTGCGCAGGGTCGAGGCACGCGCTTGCTGCGGCGCTCACAGTGAGGGCCATGCCCTTGGCCGGCGGAGCAGGAGTGACAGCAGTGGGTGGGGTGCCAGGTTGACAGGTAGGAACAGCCCGGGTTGGCACAGGTCGTGCCCTCGGCCTTGTTGGTGCTCTGGCGCCTATCAGGGCACTCGGATTCATGCCGATTGCGCCAATCCTGCCAGTTGCGCTGCCAGCCACGCCAACCCTTGCCTTGGCAGCCCTTGCCCTGCCAGCCCTGCCAGGACTGCCAGCCCTTTTGTTGGCAGCCCTTGCCCATGCCCTTCAGCAGCTGAAACAAGGGAAGGCCAACAAGGTGCTTGAAGGCACGCCGCGAGTCCAAGAGAGAACACTTGAACTCATGGCCGGCGCAGGGCCCGCTGTGCACTGCGCCCTTCTTGGCATAGCATACGCCGCAGAGGTCGTAGTCCGCACAGCTCTTGCACTTGAACCGCGGACCAACCACTGGCGAGTGGCAGCCGTCACACATCACGCCCCTGTGCTCCAGAGAGATGTCCAAGCCATCCAGGCAGGATGCCAGGCGCTCTTGTTGGGTCTCGGCAAGGGCCGACACGAAACAGTGTTGCGCCTCGAAGTGCAGCAGGTCAACACCGGCAAGCAAGTCCAGCAAAAACCTCCCTGCCGAGGTAGGCGCCATCTCTGACAGGCAGGCATCCAGGGATGCTTCCACATGCTGCAAGCCATGCGGCGCCAGCAAGGGCCGAATCTGCTCCAAGATCTCCTTGAGCGGCTCAATGGAAGTCAGGGCTCGCCCCAGCTCCTCCGGCTCCCGCTCTGCCACAAACTGCAGCGCGCCAGGCAGCCAGCACACCGCCGTGCTCGCCAGCGCCTGCGGCGTCAGCACCTCCGAGATCTTGGGACGTGCACAAGGCTCGCCAGTCTCACCATCCACGCCACATCCGTGCCGGTCCTGGCCGCGCTTGCGCTTGCCCTTGCCATGCTGCCCCTGGTGCAGCCTCTGCAGGAGGGGATGCAGGAAGGGCGGCACGAACGTGCTCCAGTCGTTTGCCGTTTCACTCTCGGGCATCTCTCTGTTTTCCGTGTCTGCGGGCAACAACTCCAGGCGCAGAGTCAACCGCCCAGCACTGACAGAGAGGTCTGCAGCCTGCGTCGCCTGAGCAAGGAAGTCCCCGAAGGAGCTCTCGCAGAGCACGCAAGCATCCCCTTCATCATCCACGTACCTCGCCGCGTAGGCCCCCAAATCTGGGAAGAGGCGCTCCAGGCAGCTGCAAACCCCAGGATAGCTCAGGTCATCCAGCAGGCACCGGCGGATTTCGGAACCCAAAGTGGCCTTCAGCACAGTCATGCCGCCAATAGAAAGGAGTCTAACTTTGAATTGCTGTCAGGACAACGCCTTCACTTGAGCTTGAGCCAGGCTAGTTCCCGCTCCATGCACATCTCGGGCCACCGTCCGAGGCTCCGAGGCCTGAGCCGCATGTCATTCAACCCTCTTGGAGTGCATTCACTTGGATGCCTGAGAATAGGGTTCGTCGTTTGAGCATGGCAGGGCTTAAACCTCTTGTGGTAGAAGCGTCTCCACATTTACTCAGAAAACAAATGCTCAATTTGCCGCGAGGGAAACAATCTACAGTAGATGACTGCAACAGAAGCTGAAGATCACTTTGAGCAACGCTCTGTGCAAAGGATTCACACATGGATATTGAAGGTTGCATATATATATATATATACACAGTGAGTATATATATAACATATACACATTATCACATATTGGTCCTTCTCTCGTATCAAAGAGCGACACCTTTGTAGCGATCAAGCAGCTCCTGGAAGAGCCACGTCGAGTCCATGAGATCGATGGCTCGGCCGATTCCAAGAGTCCCAACGCTTGGCAAACTTCCCAGTTAAACTGCTTGGCTGATGCGGTTAAACAGTCACTGTACAAGCAGGGTTGCGTGGGTTGCTGCAAGGTAAAATATGCTCGAGGCACTAACTCGCTAAATAATGTCCATGCAACTGATACTGCACATGCTTCAAATGGTCCTCTGGCGTAAGCTAGATGGTTAAATCACAGGACGTGCATCATGTGCGGTACTGCCTTCTAAGATCCCGAGTGAGGCAATGTGCTCCAAAAGAGTCAATGTTTTTTTTGGCGCTCAGGCATGCTGCGTGCCATGTTGGCACGCAGGGCGGCACCATGTTGGTGCCGCAGGCAACATAATCCAAACGTCAACACATCTTCAAACTTGCCTGCAGGCTGATGCATAACAAAACAATCGCCAAACTGCTCCTGACTTTGAAGGAATCAGCTTGGCCTGGTCTCCTTTGCCAGGGCCACCCCACGCCCTGCACCCGCCCTCGCCGGAGACCAGGGCTCGGATGGCTTCCAGTGGCTGCGGTCTATGCGTACTTCTTGGCTTTCATCCCAGGTCTGCTCGCCATCCACATACCTGGTCTGATCTCTGGGTTGATCTTTGATCCCCTGCAACTCTGCAAAAAAATAAGCTTGGTGCTTTGTAAGTAGGGGCGCCGACAGACTGCAAAAGGTTCATGGGTCCGTAGTTTAAGGTCGTGCCAACACAAGCAACCAAGACGCACCTGTAAAGCAGCACTTGATCAAGCACATCCGTGCATGCAAAATAAACTTGGAACGCAACAAAATGTGTCTGAGGCAAAGAAGTTGTGCACAAATTCTCCCTTTTCTCCTTCTAGTCTAGTCGAATGTTTTGCTTTTTTTTCTTTCTGAACTGGAGGTGATGAAACCTCAAGGGACCTTCCTTTCTCCTTGGGTGAGCCTGCCCAAAAAGTTGCCCCAGACCCTTCCGCCGCCCCAAACCGATCCGCCCCTTCCATCGAGGCGCTTCACCGTGAGCTTCTTGGGCACTCCCGGCTGCGGGTCACCGAAGAGATCGGTTTCGCCCAGATTGGTCTCGCCCTTCTCCCCGAACCTCTGGCTTTTCTGCTCAAAAAAAACGAGACACCCGACTGATTTCCTGGAGAAAGCGGGTTCCAGGTGGGCATTTTTGACCGAACAAAGACACGTCCGGCCGATGTCCTGGACCAGAAAGTGGGTTCCATGTGGCGTTTTGACCAATTTCGGCACACCCGACTGATTTCCTGGAGAAGGCGGGCTCCATGTAAGTGAAAAAGGGTAATGAAATCAAAACTTAGTTGGTCTTAGACCCCCTGCAGCAACAACAACGGCTTTCAGTGGTTTGGTGTCAGAAATGCCATAAACAAGTGCCATTGCGGAACGACGAACAAACTGAAGTCTGGCTTCCACCTTAAACTCTTGACTTTGTTGCAGAGTAGTGAGAAACATCATATTCATTCTCGAAACAGTTAAACAGTTTAAAGGTGCTGAACAAGACCAAGCAACTTCTTTAAGATCTCCAACTTGCCGCCCAATTCGCACAACACGCCCCGCAGGACTGCTGTGACATCCAGGGGCCCAAAGGTGGCGTGCCTCCGGGCAAATGGCTACGTCAAGCAACCAGTGCAATCTAAGGGCCTTCATCTTCTCACTTTCCCGAAATGTATGATGTCCCCCTCCAAATCGCAAGCCGCCCCTGATTAGCTTGTTGATCCGGATGAATTAATCCGAGGTTGACATTATACGACATGGCAACCTATGAAACATGTCACTTGCCTTTTTTGAACAAACAAGTGCGAGGGTGAAGGCATGATAAACCTCCATTTGCTTAAGTCCCCTGGAAAAAAATGATAGAACCAAAAATATGTCCAGTAGTGATAGATTCCCTTTACAACCAACAGGGGAAACTAAAACATACTCTTAGCCAAAGTAATTAAACGTGTCGCCACGCCAATCGCCTGATGCCCCAGGTCCAATCTCCGAACTCGTCGTAGTCGGGACACTCGGTGTTCTCATGCCTGGGGCGCGGCAGGCGCATCCACTCCGACTCTGCGGCGGTCACAGTCTGCTCCTCACCATCCACCTGGAAGGTTACTGCCAGCTGCTTTGGGACGCCTGGTGCGGGATCCCCCAACAAAGCGTTGAAGTTGGTGAAGACGAAATCATCCCCTTCTTGACCACACGTGCCGCCGGAAGACTTGACGTCATTCAACTCCGCGTCATAGATATTGATGACTTGGTTTGTGACATCTGTCTCATTGTACTTGGCGGCAACCAGTGTACGGTGCTTGATCCTGGCAGGCAGGAAATCGGAAAAGCGTGTGAACTCCGTGGAGCGCTGGTGGTGTGGCCTGGACGCCATTCGCAAGAAGAACTTCTCGCCGTCTCTCAGCGGCTCGCGCTCCTCGGTCCCCGGCTGCGGTACGACCACCAGCAGCAACTTGCAGCCAGCGGGCACAGATGGTTGCGGACTTCCTTCCCCCACATGGATCCGATGTGCTGGCGTTTGACGGCCCCACCATATCCCAAGCTCTCGCGTGGACATCACAGGAGTCTCGGAGCACACCTTGCCATCATCCAGCAGGAAAACGTCTACGTAGCACCGCTTCGACTGATTGCTCCGCCGAGCATCGAATCCTTCAGCTTGAAAAAGAAAGATCGACGTCTCGCCTGCCTGCAGCGAGGCTGGAAAAAAAGCAACACAATTCGACGTGTTGTCTGTTTGCAAAAGCTGTCGGAGCGTGAACAAATCATGAAGGTCGACATATATTCCCCACTTCCATAAGAGAACTCTTCTGGCACTCCTTTGGTCGAAAGCCCAAGCATCCTGGGAAATTCCGCGCCTTCAGGGCATCTTGGTCGGGCATCTCCAGCACCAGCGCCTGGCAGCTGCCGAGGTCCTCCGAGCTATCTTGTCAAGCACATCAATATCAGCATATGTTGCTGATACAATCCGACCCGCCATGGCAGTCAAATGGCCAAGATCCGGCCTTTAAAAGTGTTGTGTCGCAAGGCTTGTGTTGCATTCCACCGCACCGAATCTGGTGCGGACCACGAACAACAGCTTCTTTTCCCCCCAAAGAGAATAAGCGTAAATTGGGACGCGGAAGGCACCGCCCAAATGAAGAACAGAAAGAATGTAGTCAGTTGCCGGCAGTGAACCATGTGATCCTGGTGGTGGCAATGTCTCTGTATGCTTGCTCTCTTTATCAATGCGTCACGCCACCAAAGCGCTCGCTGTGGAAAGGCAGGATGGCAATGGAAGTGACCTCGCAGTGCTTTGCAGGTCAGCAAGGCATGACAAGCTTGGCACGGGAGATCCGTTGAGACATGCTTCCAACGCGCATCGCAGGCATCCTTTTCTCGCTGCCGGAACACCTTAGGCACGCTCGTGCAGGCCGAGGAATCATGGCAGGGTGATCAGTGGGATAAAACGACTCAAAAAGTCGTGAGTGGCAAACAATGGCAAAGCAAAGAGTTCCGAAATCACTGGCTGCCCCTATACATTGAAAACTTGGTGAAACGATGGTCAAAACGTCTCGTATGCAGCCGCACAGCAGCGTTCGCTGTGTGCGGGTAGCATCGCTCACACTATTTCCAGCAACCACCCCTACTTGTGGCACGCTGTCCGTGACACAGAATCATATGTTGGAGGGAGGAAGCAACCAATCTTTGCCCACTCACCACAATCAGATGTCAAATCTACGCGTGCAGACCCCTCTCCAAAAAGCCTCAACTTTCGGACCAACCTTGACTGACCTCAACAGCATACATTGTCACACACGCGAGAAATAATTTTAATCACTGCTTTGAGCAAGTTCTTTCAAATACCCAGGAACCAGTGCAGGGCAGAAAGCTGGAGTCACACTGCACTGTACAGGGATGGAAGCCCATGTGCGCGTGCTTCTCGAAGGAATGGAGCTTGACTTGGAGGTCCCAGAGCAATGCAGATGCAGGTGGCAAAATGCATATTAGTCTTGGTGAGGGCTACACTGAGATCTAATCAACACATGATTAAACTTTGGCTTCTGCATAGTGGGTTAAGATGGAAGTGCACGATTAGAAGGGAGGCATTTGCTCGCTGGACAAGCCGAGGACATGAAGGCATCTCTGAAAACGCATGAAATCAGTGCTGTGTGAAGCATGTGCTCCAAAGAGTATGTTCCAAGCATGCACGACAAATGCCCTCAACGACACATTCACGTGTCAATAACAAACCGCTGTCAGATCGTGAAAGTCAAGACTTGAGGGTGTTCAGCTCCAGCCCATGTCTTGCACAAAAGTTCACTCAGCTGAGTTAAACGTCAATCATCCCTTTGCACGCGGCGAACTTAGTCGCTTGCCATGGCTTCAATGGTTGCACCGCACGATCTTTGGTCGCAGGGTTGGGCTTGCCGCAAGGCTAGCGCATGCTCGCAGCGCCGAGATAGGCCAGGGTCTCACCTCAATTTCGAGCAATCAATGGGCCGAGCTTCTGATAGCTCAAGTCCAATCCTACAAAACATGTTGTTGGGATCATCCCGGACCGGCATGGCGCACCAGCCAATCGAAGCAACAGCAGCCAACTTGAACATTTAAAGTAGCCAGAAAGTCCATGAAACAACAAATTTGCTGCCAGACTTTGATTCTCTGCCAGAGTTTCTCTTCACTCTCTGGCCTCAGCATCCTGGGATGCTGAAGAAAGCAAATGCTTCCAAATCAAATATGGGGCACGGTTGGCTTCTTGGCCCTAATACCAGCAGCCGGAAATGTTCAACCAGCGACAAACAGAACCCTCCAATCAACGAAAGTAGAAACATCTTGCTTTCGACGCCTTTCTTGATGCTTGCACTGTCAGGCATTGCAAATAGGGGCTATGCCGTCGAAGGGCAAAGATTGAGCACTGCCCCGTGTTCAAAAAATCAGCAATACCAAATCAAACACACGTCCGTCAAGCCAAACACTTGCCCCGCGCACAGAACATCAAAGCTGAAACAACAGCATCATCCTGGAGATGCCCTCAAACTGTTGTGCATCAAGTATCTCGGCCAAGGCAAGCATCAGGAACACTACACAATGCCAAAGACAAGCTAAAGCGCTTCAAGACTGCTGCCCGACGCCTTATTTGTTGCATCTACCTGCCTCGCTGCACTTGCAGTAGGTGTCAACTGCGAGGACCTCCACTACCTGAAGCGGGGATACGGTGATGCGGGAAGCTCCCGCCAGGGAAAAGTTGAGGGAGAAGCTGCCGAAAGGCAGCGTCTCCTATCAGCGAAACAAAGCAACAGTCGTGACATTTGGTGCAGAAGGGCTGATGTTGCCCACGTCACATGTAACTTTGATCAATGCGCTGCTCTCTTGAAGTCTTGTCAACACAGTGCTGCGTGCCTGTGCCTCTTTTCAGGGACCTGGACATGTGGCAAGCCAAGATTGAAGGACTGTAAGAAAGACGCGGGGAAAGAGCAGGCACACGAAATCAAGTGGTCCAAAGCGCGCAAAAGCCAGGAAACTTATAAGCAACATGAGCAAATCACTCTGAACTCGGCTCATTGCTTGCTTCAAAGCCGCATGGAGCCAAGTAAGGGAGTGACACCTTGCTACATGTAGAGCCCCCATCCGCATTTCCATACGTCGCTATGCTGCGATTGGCTCGAGCCATCCCGAGCCGCCCGAAATTGATTTTTCGGTCAAGGAGCGAGTCGAAGGTCTGGAGGCGCGGAGCAGAGCCACGCTGGAGGTTGGGCATGATGTCCTGCAGGGCCCAGAAACTCCCAAAGAGGAGTTTAAGCAGAAGCACACATGCAAAACATACACATAAAATAATAATAATAATGATAATTATTAATAATAATAATAATAATAATAATAATAATAATAATAATAATAATAATAATAATAATAATAATAATAATAATAATAATAAATAATAATAATAAACATAATAAATAATAAATATAATAAATAATAAATATGCATATATGTATATATGTATATATATATGCATATATGTGTATGTTTATAGACAAGATACATATACATATAATTAGCACTGCCTTTTGGTGCACCAACATGGCAGCAATGACCTACAAGACTTGAGAACTTCGTAAGGGTGCCCGCTTGGAAGGAGCGAGTCCCTAGAGCCTATGGAGAAAGGGGAAAAGTAAGCAGCACAAATTGGCAGTGTGGCGCCCAAGTGCAAACATTTCTTTTGGTCCACATGTAACTGTTGTAACTTATCCATCTTAGCCGACATGTCGATATTCTACATCTCTCGCAACTTGCGAAGCTCTTCCTGTCTGCCGCGGAGTCACCACCATGCTCCGAATCGCCAGCAAAAGCCGCGCCAGCGACTACAAAAAAAAAAATCTACACGGAGGGGAGATGAGAAGACTTGCTGGACGTTCCTCAGCTGATCTTGCACCTTTCTGCCGGCGTCTCCAAAAGCGGGATCTCCCCATCAACACATCCCGCGAAGGCCCGCGAAGGGTTTCCAAGCGCAGCCAATCCCCCTCTCTCCTCGAATGCGACTGCCTTGGGCGACACATCCACCAAGCCGAGTGCCTCCAAAGGATAGTCCTGGCGCGACTGCCAAAGGATCCGATTGCAGTGAATGGCTAATTCTGATCCAAACCACTGAGATGCCCCGCAGGAGTAGTGAAACATACGTCCTTGTTGGAATCCTCAAAGAATCTCACAGCACGAGTCTCAGAGTGAAAACTCCGCAGAAAGCTCTGCAATCAGCTGCACCTCTGGTCAAACACTTTGGAGATGGCCGGTGAGCCCATCTGAGTGCGATAGCCACCGAAGAACACGTAAATGACTTTGGCAAGGACAACTACATGCCGCATGGACAGAAAAAACACTGAGCCAGCCCCGTCTTCTAACACACCCAAGTTGGTCTGATACGGGAGGAGAATTACATGACAGACTGGCATCCTTTCAGAATTTCCCAGACCTACCCCAAGACTTAAAAAAAGGCCAGTTCCGAAGCCAACCCAGCCCCTGAATTGCTCAAAGAGGAATCAATGTGGGGATTGTCGTTCCATATTCGCATGTTAAATGCTGCTCACACAGGTCTGAATGCCCTCCTCCTGAGTTTACGGCCGGCAATCGCTTTTAGGCATTTTCTCTTTCAAGATTCAGGGCCACATCAGACATCTGTCATGTTCCTAATTTAAGGGTCTGGGCGGTGCCCAGAGTCAGGTCCTCCTCCTCAGACTGCCACTCCTCTAACCATTCGTCTTGCTCGGCCTAAGAGTGGGACTTGGGCTGGTGGGGCTGATCGGTTCCCCACTGAGACATCAACTTCTAGTCAACAATCCCAACTTCTTGCCTTTGGGCCCCACTGGTGTCCTGCCACAATGATCTTGAAAAAAGATATATATATATAATATAATATATATAATATATAATATATATAATATATTAATATATATATATATATATGCTTGACATGTCAGTCTGCTCCGATCCATTCCCTCGAGCTGAGGCAGGATCTGCTTCGGTCTTGGCAGCTTCCGTGTCCTCGCAGGCGCGTGCTAAACATTGGGGCTTCGCTACCTGCACACGGGTTCAAAGGCGGGTGAAGGGTTTCAATGGCACACACAAGAACAAAGATTGCCAGCAGCACCAGCTTCCACCGGGTTCAACACAATTTGGTGTAACATGGGGATCCAAGCGAATCTGAAAATGCAAACAAGGGGGATCTATGAGACCTCAATGCTCTGGTAACGTGGGAGATGTGTCTCTGAAGAACCAGAGGGCAAACATTTCATCCTCAGACTCTGGCCCTGAGGTATCTGGGTTGGAACGGCATGCTCGGTTCCAAGTCAGCTGTTACCTTCCGGGGACCTGCGGATTCCCTGCAGCATGAGCCTCGTGTCACCAGGTGTTCCCGCAGTGCTTGATTCCAGTAGCCCCTGATACATGCATGTGCGCTTGCACCTGCAATTGCATCCCTGGCACCTTTTTAAGTGCACTTCTCCGTCCCTTTGAAGCGCACAAACACATGTCAGTGCATAGAGAGTACTTCGGGGGGCAAGGTACTTAGTTGCAACCCACTTTCCATGGCTACAAGTCTCAGGTGGGTTAGAACCGGGCTTACCAGCCACTAAGTGCCTTGCCGTTTCAACCAGGCACCGAGCGGAAAAAAAGAAAGGCAAAAACAACGCAAGCGCCGCGCCACGCGCCCAAGCGCCCAAGCGCCCAAGCGCCCAAGCCGAAGCGCCTGGGGCCGCGCGTCCCGGCGGCTGCGGAGGTAGAGCTCCCGGGCTCCAGGCCCCGCCTGAAGCTTCAGGTCCAAGGGAGAAACTTGCGGCACTTTGGACGGGAAAGTCTCCGTCTCCCGCGTCCTGGTGAGAATCAGCATCTCCGTTCCATTCAAGCTGGAGTCACGAGCTGGGAAACTGAAGCTTGAATGATGGCAAGGCATGAGAGAACCTCAAACCACATCATCGGAAGGCTGCGACCGACCTTCGTTGTGAACGACCCTTGGAGTGGTGAATTGAGCATGCTAGCGGTCAGAAGCGCACTTGCATTGTCAGGAGTTTGCCGGTCGGATGTGCTGTGATTTACTGGCTAAGAGCCACTCAATATGTCTTGCTTTGCCTCCAAATGCGTCCAGGGATTGCACATCCCAACTTGCTTTACCCCGTGCAAAGACGGTGTCCGTTTCCTCTACACATCTCTTGCATGGATCAAGCTCTTCCATACTTCGCCGATGGGTCATGTTTCAGAGGACCCCTGAAAACAAAAACATCTACCTTCAGGAAACACACTTGGAAATGTGCCAGAACCAATAAGTCCCACACCCGAAACCTACCCACTTCGCACGAAAGTTTCAGGAACCTGTTAGCCAACCATCCCTCCGTTGCATACGAATGCAAGTGCATATAAAATCATTCTGATGCATATATGTGTACATATAATTATATATACATACACTTATGTTGGCACACACAGGCGCACGCACATGCAACATGCATAAACACTCTACATGCAAAACCCGATGAAAGAATGCGCTTTGCCTGGCGAATCGGCCAACTTCTCCCGTACGCCTGGTAGGCCCCGAGCTTCTCCAGGTATTCCAAGGGCAGCGGCCCATGGCAATCCGCGTAGAAGGCCATCTGCAGGCGCCAAAGGCCCCCGTCCGGGCCTGGCAGACTTGGCCCCATCCCTCAAAGAGAGATGAGAGGGGGGTAGGCAGCGTGGGATGCAAAGGCCTGAAGAAGATGGGGTGTGACAAGAGCCGCACTGTTTTCCGCCGCCAAACAGAAGAGCGCAACCCCGTTTGGCAAGGGGTAAGCTAGGGAGCCTGGGTCATCTTGTCGGGCAAATGCATCCAAGCCTGCAAATTCTACAAACAACAGCCAGCCTCTTTGCAAATATCTAACATCTTTCTTCATCCAAGACGCGTGAGCGGCTTGTACGCTGCAGCAAAACATGCACAGGAAATTGTTAGAACCTGCTCATCGCAATTTGGAGATTTAGTGCCATCAATTGACGTTCACAGTCATCCGGTCAAAAACTGTGCCAGCAAGTACTGCTACTTGAGTGTGTGTGTGTGTGAAAAGATCCCAATATATGCTGTGGCGTTGAATTTTCCTCAACGCAAGGGTGAAGTCAAGGCTCTCAACCTACACCAGCATCGAAACCTCGTTTTGGAGGGGCCCAGAGCCGCCGGATAAAGACCCCTTGTAAAGCTGATCAAACGCGCTTTTCGATATCTGCGCTGAACGAGTGGCAAGGGATTGTCTCCTTCTCCCCGGCCTGGAACGCCTTCAGGCTCCAGCGCGCTGGTGATGCGTCGCCAGGGCCCTGCGCGCGTGATGCTCACAACGACAGACACACATTGGGGTGTTGGTCGCAGAATCGGGGGCACCCATGAAACATCAAATACATGGGCCTAGCTACGCATGCGTGGCCATGCGCGCGCGCTATTTCGAGATGAGGATCCTTCTCCTCGCGCGCGTCGGTCCGACAAAACAGCAGCCGAGACACTGCTTCAGAAAAGGCGCCGTCAACCCACCGAGTGACCAGCCATATCGCCGCTGCCGCCTTTCATCGAGGGGCGTTTGATCCGCACCAACCCTGCCAGCAAGTGAGCGCGCGACACAAAGCTCGCTTGAGACTCACGCCGCGCGGCAGCCCTGGGCTGCGAGCTTGAAAGCAAAGTAGCGGCCGCGCGCAGCGCGCGCAACTGCCTAGCCTGTAGCAAACCTAGAGAAGGTTTCAACACACATGTGTTGTCTCAATTGACTGCTTTGCCTGCGCGTGCTAATCTGCTTGTACATCTTGCATTAGGTTTTCTCCATTGTATGCTGAGGATCAATAAGATAATTCAGTCGCACTTCCTCAAGCAAACCAAGATCCAGAATCAAACCACATTTGCAGTGTCCAACATGTTCGAAAGAAAAAAAAGAAAAAAGGGAAGAAGAGACAACATTTAGAGCGCCCTCTACTACCACTGTATCACGCAAACAGAGGGACTATTATATAAAAGGAGAAAACGCACAAACTGAGCCCCCCAAGGACCTACTGTTTGCGCGGCTCGGTGAGAAGACATGTCAGGGTGCAGCTGGGAAACACTCGCGTAGAATCTACTGCGTACTACGATGTTGAGCAATCAGCCCATGTCCATCCTGCCCGACGGGTTCACAGGCACTTCACCCACGTCCAGTCTTCATGAAATATTGATCTTGCACCCGATGCTTGCAGGTAAAAACACTGCGGCCAGCCATATGCGCAATCTGACAAAGGAGTGCACGACTGCGACGCAAATATCCAACAGACCTTGTTATTGAAGCCACAATGAGGGTGTGAGCAGCGATGAAGATGTCAAGCCGCTGAACTGCTACTGTTGCAATCAAAAAGGCAAAGGACCTTCACTCAGCGAATTTCAAGTGAAAACAAGTCTCCCGGAGACATCACTAATTTTCAGCTAGATGCTTCACCTAGAGCTGTGTCTATAGATGATATTGCATTACCACTTTTTGCAATTCGACCAATTGCAATCCTAGAGCTATAGGACCAGGCCAAAAGTACAAACGGCTACATAGGTGGACAGAAAACAACAAGCAACAGCAACACTGAAAACAACACAACAAAACGAAGGGATGAAGATAACCACCAAATCAACAAAACCGGAAGTCCAACCACCAAACCAACGATCCAAAGTCCAACCACCAAACCACCAAAACCGAAAGCCCAACCACAAAGTCCAACCATCAAACCAACAAAACCAAACAAAGTCCAACCACCAAACCAACAAAACCAAGTCTAACCACCAAACCAACAAAACCGAAGTCCAACGACCAAACCAACAAAACCCAAGCTCCAACCACCAAACCAACAAATCCGAACAAAAGTCCAATCACCAACCCAACAAAACCAAACAAAGTCACCAAACTAAAACCAAACAAAGTCTAAAACCAACAAAACCGAAAGTCCAACAAACAAACAAACAAACAAACAAACAGACAAAACCGACTACAAAGGTGGACAGAACACAACCAGCAACAACAGCAACACAGAAAACGCCAGAACAACAAAACGAAGGGATGGGGGTACCCACCAAACCCACAAAACCCAAAGTCCAACCAAAGGAGTTGCCCCCCGAAACCGAAAAGAAAGAACAAAACACACGGCTCGAGCGTCATCGCTTGGACCTGGCGGTAGCTCACCGTCCATGGGCACTCCCACAGCTTCGTGGATGCTGTGCACCTCCCGTGCTGCCTCGCTGACGCCGCCTGCCAGGCGTGGGACCTGTTGAAATCGCCTCCCGGACCCGGTTGGCTGCGGGGGAGGGAGCAGAGGGGAGTTATTTAGGGCTTATTTGGGCTCCCTCCCCCTCCCTCCCCCCCTTCCAACCCCCATGAGGTTGGATTTCTTAGGTTCTTACCGTAAAGCCGATGAAGCCAAACAAAACCAACCGGGTCACGGGCCCTTACCTAAGATTCGGGTCCAAACTCCAAACCCTTCCAATGATCTGGAGATCCTGACCTCAAAGGGATGTTCAAACCTCAGCCTGGTAGTAACGGAATCCCGTTTGACCAAGTCAATAACATCAATCTGTTCCACCATCATCAGATTAGGACAGCATATCGCTGTGCAGTTCGAGCTGTGGGGTCAGTGGAGGGAACAAGTACAGCAAATGTTGCATAGGCTCATTGGAGACTGATGGTAACAGGTTGTAGGCTGGGGTATCCATAGGTAAAGAGCACAAGTCTCGTATCTAGGTTGTGATTGCCAAACAAACCACCCGGTCGGACCGCGATAAGCTGTTGACATGCAGCATCAGAATCATCAGCCACAGGCAGGAGGATCTGCAAAGACCTAACTCTCCCATTTCGCGAACGATGCTTTGATCATGCGGCAAAGCAACAACTTAAACTCTTGCCACGACTTCGGCAAGGTAGCACAGTCTTGGAGTTTTGGGCTCAGACTACCAAGTGGGGTGGAATGAATGAACACCTTCCTGCACTGCTTCCATTGTAAAGGTATTGTTTAAAGTTCGACTGCAGTGTTTCAAAGGTCTCACACACACACACACACACACGCTGATAGTTTCTGTGTCAAAGTGGAGCATGGAAGAACGCGATGAAACCAAGCAAACATCCAGGCACTGCCGACCGAGGGGGTGGGGGGGTTGGAGGAAGGCCTCAAGCGCGTTTCTGGCCCACCCGCCTAGCAGCTTGGTCTTCGGCTCCCAGAAGAGCGTGTTTCCATCAAACCAGCCTGTGGCTATGCCGACATGATCCTCTGACATGAAAGGGTGAACCAACCAGTGGTCCCAAGATGTCCCAACTGGTTTTGCCGACCAGTCTCTTGGCATGTCTGAGATACCAGTCCTATGCCATCCATGTCTGCCGTCCCCCTGCATCAGTCAACACGCATCATTCATGAGTCATTTCTACGTATCCGGCATCCGGCGCACAGCCTGCAACCTTGGTGCTCCAACATTCGCCAGTTATTGTAATCGTAGATGCCGTTGTTGCACAACTCCCTTTACGTGACTCGCTACCTTCCCTAGAACCCTCGCTGCGTTGGCCCTTGGACCACCTTCAGCGTCGCGGAATGTCAAGCCGGAACTTCCCGGAACGCTCAAAGAGTATAGCTGCTATTAGCTTCTCTGGATACATTGATGTGCTATCCCCAGGAAACTTAAACATGGCAGGCCAAATATTTTAGAACTGCGCCAGTCAAACTAGAAAGAAGCCTCAGCTTAGTGGCGAAACATGCACAAGGTTAAGCAGCCATGATCAAGCTTCTTGTGTTCCCAACTATTGATAGTGAGCAACTTCAAAAGCCACCAAGACATTGGCATTTACCCCATAGGCCTATCATGCCTCAATCTATGTGCTTGCATGGTGAATGGTCCTAGTCCCTGGTACCTTGAACTACTACCATGCCAACTTACTATGGATGAGATGTGTCCGCCGTCGTGGGTGATCCGACACACAAACCACTCTAAATCCAGTTCCAAAAGGGGACTTTTAGTACATGGCAGGTCGGCTTCAAGCCACACCTGGCCCAAGGAAATCCCAGTTGGGTGCAATTGTTGTCAATGCCGTGTCTCGAGTGGGGAGTTTCTCAACTTCAAGAAGACTTCTGGCTGGTTTCCAAGGAGTCATGGTCTGGCAAGGGGAAAACTGATGCAAACGCCACCAAAAAAGGCACCTTTCGGGCTGGTTCTGAAGCTGTGCACGGAAGCAAAGGCAGCAGGGCAGTTTCATACATTGTCACATAGCCGCGCCCCCGCCCGCCCTCCCAGAACCCAAGAGAAGAAACAATAAACCAACCCAGAAAACAAAAACAAAAACATATCAACAAACAAACAAACAAATGATGGTTTCCTTTTGCCCTGCGAAGGCTCCCTTCCCCACACCTCGAAGTGGCTCCGGGGGCGGCTCCTCTGTGCTGGCTGTGCTGCCTTCAGGCTTCTCCTGTCCATCTTTGAGCAGATTCCACCCAAACGCCGCGACTGAAGCGAAGCCTTCAAGGAGCTTGCGGCCTTAAAGTGTGAGAACAAAAAGAAAAAGAAAAAACAACGCGTCGGGGTGACCCGTTCAATGGGTACCATTATACATGATTCCTTGAAACACTTCCCCAGCCGAGTCCAATTTTGCTGCGGGTTGCCCTCCCTTGTTCCCTGAGAACAACCAATTTGATTATCCTCAAGTTTGGGCATGACCTCCAAACTGGAGCACCGATGAAGTTGTGATGCTCCCAGTGATCATATATACTATCATTCCAGTCACAACAAGCTTGCGTAGGTCGCTTGGTTTCAAACGTAGGCGATCTGGTACGTGAGTGAAAACCGGCAAAAACGGTTCATGTCCAACTGGGTAAGGAAACATGAGAATACGCTAAGACACTGGCGTGAGACCTTGTGGATCTGCAGATCGACCGAAAGCCCAAAGCTACCACCCTTAAAAGAAATGACGCCTGAGGCCCAACAGAAAACCGTGGGATTGCTTTTGGCAACCCAGCACATGAACGGAACCAGGGTGTTGCGTGTGGGCGTTTTACATCTAGCTGGCCAAAATGAAGCAAGGCTGCGGGAGGATTTTGCGTCCATCCAAAGAGTGCATCTACAAGCAGCTATCCGGAGAGATGAGTGACGGAGTCGGCTTTGTGGCTGCTGTATGTGCTGACTGGAGTGATGATTCATGACATGTTCTGTGAAGGAACTCCTTGGGATATCAGTAATGAGGGAGGAATGCTTGCATTCAAGACAATAAAGGAGTGATGCTGTTTGCGTTGTTCCAATACAGCAAGGTGCTGCCACTTACTCAAAGTGGAAAAAGTGTCAACACGTACGGAGTGCGTTCCGCACAACACACACAAAACACCAAGCCTATGCTGAAGCCATCCTGAGCCAATTGCAGATTAGTGTATGGCTACCATGACACTCGTCTCGTTTGCAAGCTGGGGCACTCGTCTCCCTTGTACTTGAGCTTTCTTCTACCCCTCACCAGTCCGACCCTGGCACAAGGTAGACGCCTTGTCCCTGGTTGAAGTAAACCACAGGACACCGAATTTGAGGTAAACCAAAGGAAAACAAATTTGAAGAAAACCCAAGGAAACCATTCTTGTCTACCCATTCGGTAGTCATCTTGAAGCTCAAATTGCCACCCTTACCATCCCCCCGCCCGCATGCCTTCATGGAGAGCCGCCGGGGCTTGGGCGGGTGCCACAAGACTTGCTGCCCCAGCAGCTCCCCTTTCTCCACCGCCTGGCGCGGTGGAGCGGCGAAAGTGTTCGCCAGGCGAGCGGAGGGGGATTTGCGGTCCAAGCCAAATCCAACAAAAAAAAAACGGCCGGCAAGGGGTGTGACCGAAATGGGCGGACTAGAACTAGTGAAATCAAAATTTCAGCCAGCAAATGGGTATGTTCGAAATGGTGGAGTGGCACTAATGGTGGGGGTCGGGGGCTCGCCTTGCTTGGTCCCGAATCCAATCTTGTTGGATACTTGGCAAAGGGGATGAATTCCTGGTCCCTTGGGAACACGTGCAAAGGCGTTAACGGAGGCCTCTAGTTTTTGTTTCCAAACGCTCAATCAAACCCGGAGTTCATCAACCCAACGAATCACATGTCTGGATGCACCCCACTTGTGCCCCTTCTGCTTGGCTTGCTGACAAATGATGTTCCACCTTCGCCCACCACAAGAATGTCTCTGTCAAAAGGAAGCCGACAGCAAACCAAGCAGCAAGGGACAAGCATCGGCGTTCCCTCCCATCCAGCTTTGTGTTCATTTAAGGTAGGGTCCCGATTTTATCATTGAACAAACAAGCAGCAAGATGCGACCAGATCCTCAAGGTGTCTCCCCTTTGTCTTCACTCGATTCAACAAAATGTTGCTTATACGAGGGTTGCATGTCCACAATGACAAGGACAAACAGTTCAGGTCCGGTCGACAGCACTTCCCGCCTTAATGTCCTGGGGGCGCCCCACCAGCTCCAGGGTGCCTGGCGAACAGGGAGCCACAAACTTCTGGCTGAAGGTAACTGACGTGGAAGGGAATCCCCTTCCAAGGCATCGATGTTTGAAGTTCTCAGAAAGCAAAGCTAAACCTCCCTTTGCTTCAGTCCCGTGGAAAAACATATTTCCAGTGAAATCGATTCCCTTTTAAACCAACAGGGGAAACGAAAAAGTATTCTTAGCCAAATGGAATCTAAACAAGAACAGTGAGCCTCTCACCGGGTCGAAAAATCAAGCTCGTCCAGTCTGCTCTTTGAGGAGATTGGACGCTGGTTGTCCGGGAGGCTACACTAGAAACAAGCAGCAAAATGCGACTAGATCCTCAAGGTGTCCCCCCTTTGTCTTCACTCGATTTAAGCAAAATCTTTATTATAAGAGAGTTGCATGTCACAATGACAAGGACAAACAGGATTGGGGGGGAATAAAGCGCGCTGCTTTGGCTGCAAGTGGCAAAACTGAAGAATTGTGAGACACAACATTCCCAAAGCCCGTATTTTGGGGTGCATTTCTGATCTAAATCTGGGCATCATTTACGCGGCACTGTCAATCAACCCTTCTTGAGGGTGTTCCACCCATGAAGATGCACAGGTACCCTCCCAAATAGTTGGTTTCTTTTCGTTTCCTCTGCTT